AGCCAAGGACCCCAGTTTTCAGAATTATTAAATGTATTTTCTCTTAGTTTGTCCCTTGTCTTTTTACTTCATTTGTAGTAGCCAAGTGGAATTTTAGAATTTGTCAAATTTATTCATCAAACTTTATGACTTCTATGTTTTGTATCTTATATAGTAGTTCTTCGAGATTATAAAAATAGTCACATTTTCTTCTAGTACTTCTATAGTTTTTTTAAGTGTAAAATTTTAAATTTATATGTTTAGTCCCTCTGGAGTTTATTTTTATATATTTCATTAGGTAGGTATCAAACCTTATTTTTTTTTCCTTTAAATGGTTAGCCATATATTGAAAAAATCTCTTTTTCCCACTGTATGTGCCACCTACCAAACTCTGTGTATGCATGAGTGGGTTCCTGGATGGCCAACTTTCTATTTGTTGTTTTACTTATATACTCCAGCTCCAATATGCTGGTTTAGTTTTCTTTAGCTTTATAATATATTTTGATATCTGTTTGGATAGGTCCTCTTTCTTTGTTCAAAGTGCTTGTTGGCTTTTCTTAAATATTTACTCTCCAAGAGAAACTTGAAAATCAGTTTATCAAGCTCACAAAAATAAATTCCCATTGGAAGTCTTAGAACTACATTGAATTTATAGATTGATTTGGAGAAAATTGATATCTTTTTTTTTTAGATTTTATTTATTTATTTGACAGAGATCACAAGTAGTCAGAGAGGCAGGCAGAGAGAGAGGAAGGGAAGCAGGCTGCCTGCTGAGCAGAGAGCCTGATGCGGGGCTCGATCCCAGGACCCTGGAATCATGACCTGAGCTGAATGCAGAGGCTTTAACCCACTGAGCCACCCAGGCGCTTGAAAATTGATATCTTTATAATAATGAGACTTCCCTTACAGGCAGATTTATTCAGATTTTTTTATGTCTTTTAGTAGAATTTTAGTTTTAGTTCCTGTAAGGCCTGTACACTTCTTACAAAAGTGTATTCCTGGGGCGCCTGGGTGGTTCAGTCGTTAAGCATCTGCTTTCAGCTCGGGTAGTGATATTAGGGTCGTGGGATTGAGCCCCACATTGGGCTCCCTGCTCTGCAGGAAGCCTGCTTTTCCTTCTCCCACTCCCCCTGCTTGTGTTCCCTCTCTCCCAGTCTCTCTCTGTCAAATAAATAAATAAAATCTTTAAAAAAAATGTATTCCTAGATAACTTATAGTTTTTGTTGCTATGATGAATGAGGTAATTTCTCTCTAATCACTTCCTGTTTATAATATAAAAGCTATTTTTTGTATATTTATAATCAATTGCTTACAAACAGCTCTTAACTGTTTATGAATCAGATCTTCTTAAAGACTTCTAAGCAAAATTGTTATCTGAATTCATTACTTTATATCAAAAGCAAACACTAATAATCATCATCATCATTTTGTGTGGTCCAAAATGGAGGTTTTTATAGCACTTCATTAAGCCCTTCCCATTCCTACAACTTCCAATGTAATACTATTTATGGAAGACACTTTTTTTTGTTTGTTTGTTTTCAATACTTGTAATTTCATACTTTGTTGACCTCAAAGAATCATAAACTTTAATAGCTGAAAGGGATCTAAGAGAACTTCTTGCCCAACCTCCTCATTTCCTTTCCTTTTTTTTTAAATTGTGCAAAATACACATAACATAAAATTTACCATGGTAACCATTTTTAAGAGTACAGTTCAATGGTATTAAGTATATTTGTATTGTTGTACAACCATCAATGCTATCCATCTCCAAAACTCTTTTCAGCTGGTAAAACTGCACTTCTGTACCCACTGAACAATAACTTCCCTGTCTCCTCCCTTCAACTGTAAAACCCCATTCTACTTTCTGTCTGTGTGAATGTGACTACTATATGTACCTCACGTAAATGGAATCATACAGTACTTGTCTTCATGTGTGCTTATTTCACTTGGCATAATATCCTATTTATGTGTAGCATGTATCAGAATTTCTTTCCATTTTAGGGATGAATAATATTCTTTTGTATGTATATACCATATTTTGTTTTGTTTATCCATTCATCCATCAATAGATACTTGAGTTGTTTCCACCCTTGACTATTATAAACAATGCTGCTGTGAACATGGGTATCCAAGTATCTCTTCAAAACTCTGCTTCCAGTTCTTTTGGGTGTATGCTCAGAAATGGGAATTCCAGGATGCCTGGGTGGCTCAGCTGGTTAATCGTCTGCCTTCGGCTCAGGTCATGATCCCAAGGTCCTGGGATTGAGTCCTGCATCAGAGTCCTTGCCAAGCAGGGAGCCTGCTTCTCCCTCTGCCCACCACTTCCCCTGCTTGTGCTCTCTCTCTCTCTCTCTCTGGCAAATAAATAAATAAAATCTTTAAAAAAAAAAAAAAGGGAATGGGAATTCTAGATCACATATTTTTAATTTTTGGAGGAACCACCAAACTGTTCTGTAGTATAGTAGCTGTACCATTTTACATTCCCACCACTATTGCGCAAGGGTTCCAATTTCTTCCTATACTCGCCCAACACTTGTTATTTTCCATTTGCCTGATAATAGCCATCCTGATGAGTGTGAAATGGTATCTCAATATGCCAACCTCCTTATTTTACAGAGTAAGAAACTAGGAGGAGGAATGATTTGTTCACATGCAGAAGCAGACCAGTTTGCTAAGTACCTGTTTACTCAATGTCCGGTTCTCCAAAGAGCCAGTGCACTTAATGACAGATTTCACTGAACTGATCTACACCAGTTTAGGCAGGTTTGCTGGTTCATAGTCACCAGATTGCTTTCCTAAAATCTTATCATTATTACCTACATAAAAGTATATAGAAAATTGTGTTTCAACACCTTGAAAATTTTTAAGGTTTTATTTAGTCTTAATGTACAGCTGTTTCATCTCAGCTGTGTTTCTGTCAGTCCATCTTTGTAGAATGTCAGTTTCATAATTTAGACACTAATCACTTCTCAAATGATTAGAACACATAAAAACAGTAATCTAATTGAGCTGGTTAGCAAATCCTTCCATTTACAGAAGTACAATAGATAGTGGAATAGATTGAAAATGATTTGAAAGAACTATGCTCTGGGCATCCCAAATCTATACATTTGTGAGTCAGTATACATAAGAAACTCTCATTCCACAAAGTCATATTGCCAAGCAAAGAAAAGTCCCCAAGCGCACTGCGATTCAGCAGTGGTAAAACAGCTACATCCAAATGGCTGAAAACTAAACTAAAACTTAATTAGTACTTGGATGAATAAAACATCACAGACATCTTCAAAAGTTATCCTAGCTAAAGAAATTTCTACCCTATCTAAAATGAATTGCTGTAATTTATAAGTAGTTGAACAGTTTTTCAGCAGATCAGTGAAAGAGTAAATTCAACAAATTGGCTCTTGGAGAACTGATCCAGCTGGCTATGTGAAATTGACTGAGAGTCCTCACTCGCACACGTAAAACAAAACTAAGCAGCAGAACCCAGAATTGAGCCTAAATCTTCTAATCCATATTTAGTCAGTGTTTTTCCTGCTATCTCACACTTTCTAAATTGGAGACATGAGATGAATGGAGATGCGGTGAGATGAAAATGTACACAATACGTTTTCAATTATTTGAAGACTGATTGCCCTCTTCTGAAAGATAGGCTATATTAGGTCCTTTGGGAGAAGATACCAGAAAACTATTAGATGAGGGGGTTTGGTTAAATCACAAAGTTCTGATATATGAATGAAGTTGAAAGTTCAAAGTTGAAACTATGATGAATTGTGGGAGTTGGGATGACACACAGACTAATTCAGGCCACTCCCTTCTTGGCTTCCCCCTGCTTCCACCAGTACGGAAAATGCATTAAGGATATTTATCCAGGGTACACTTATTTTCTTTGGGGGTCTTTGAAGGGAAAATTACCAGGACGTAGACCTAGGCCCCACGGTCTAGATGTTACCATGTGGTTGTAGGTAAATTATTTTGGGATAAGAGGGAATTGAGCATATAATTGATCCTGCATAGCACTTTTTTTTAGTGGAGGGACAGGCAAAGAGAGAGGGAGAGAGAGAATCCCAAGCAGGCTTCATGCCCAGCATGGAACATGATATGTGACTTGATCTCACAACCCTGTGATCATGACCTGAGCCGAAATCAAGAGTAGGGCACTTCACCGACTGAGCCACCCAGGTGCCCCTCTTTTCTTTTTTATAAAGAGAAATAATCATTATATTTGTCTTATGTCTATAAAGGAAGGAAGAGTCTTTGTACCACCATTGATTAATCTAACATTTGAGATCCAGTATGATCTTTATACCATAATGGAAAGCCTGTGGGTTTTAAGCTGAATTTTATACATCAAAATAAGAGGAAAAATAATAAAATAAATTTTGGTTATTTTATATAAATAAATAAAGTAAGAGGAATTGATGAATAGTGGATGGTTAGATGGACAGATATGTGATAGGAAAGGGATAGTAGAATGTTAATGGTAGAGTCTGGGTCATAGATGCATAGATACTTGTTGTAAGATTCTTCCAACTTCTTGTGTTTGAAAATTTCTGTAGTAAATACTGAAACAAAAAAAACCCTGAAATTTAGACCTAGCTTTATTATTTGATAACACTGTGATCTTAGAAAATGCCTTTAAGCTCTCTATAATAGAAATCAAGTAACCTGCTTTGCCTATCTTAAATGTTATAAGGATCAAATAATAAAATGGACAGGGAAATAATTTGAAATCTATACAGTTCAATAAAAGTGATAAAATATTGCTGTTATTTCCCCTTTTGATATTTCAGTAGCTATTCTTAGATCAGTTTGAAGAGAGGAAGAAAATGTTGTACTTGCCTTTTTAATGAGAAAAAAACCTCCCACATTGCCTTCAGCTCTCCTGCTAGTGGCCAGGTGTGTTTCAGTTCACTCTGAAGGCCATTGTCTTTATGTTTATAAGAAAGGGGACAGAGGAAAAGTTTTTTAAAAAGCTTGATGTTTAAAAATAAGCTTGTAAACCAAATTGCTTTCTTTTTCAGGAAGCAGTAGGGGACACATTAGAAGAACTATGGATCTCCTACAATTTTATTGAGAAGTTGAAAGGGATCCATGTAATGAAGAAATTGAAGATTCTCTACATGTCTAATAACCTCGTGAAAGACTGGGGTAAGCTGAAGCTGGCTCTTCACTGGCTCTTCTACCTCCTATATATGGAAAATATCCCAAATAGAGAACAAGATGCAAAATGGGGACATTTCTTTATATGCACACAGGGTTCCAGTCTTTCGGCTGAATGCGTGAAATTTACATTTAAATATTTACTTAAAGTGATTATAATTGAATAGATCCTGGTCCTATTCATCATGGAAAAAAATTACTGTCCAAAAGCTGAATGGAATCAGGTTTTGTTTTTTGTTGTTGTTGTTTTTTTTTTTTAATTTTTATTTATTTGATACAGAGAGAGAGAGCACAAGCAGAGGGAGCAGCAGGCTCTCCACTGATCAGGGAACCTGATGCAGGGCTCGATCCCAGGACCCTGCAATCATGACCTGAGTCAAAGGCAGCCGTATAACCGACTGAGCCACTCAGGCATCTTGCAATAATCTTAAAGTCTTTCTTTCCGGGGTGCCTGGGTGGCTCAGTGGGTTAAAGCCTCTGCCTTCAGCTCGGGTCATGATCCCAGAGTCCTGGGATCGAGCCCCACATCGGGCTCTCTGCTTAGCAGGGAGCCTGCTTTCTCCTCTCTCTCTCTGCCTGCCTCTCTGCCTACTTGTGATCTCTGTCTGTCAAATAAATAAATAAAATCTTAAAAAAAAAAAAGTCTTTCCTGTTTAACTTTTGAATGGAATCAGTTTAAATTTAATAATTCTTGGATGGAAGATGTATTTGCCATCTGTATGACTTCGTTTTTTTTGTTTGTTTGTTTTCTTTTTTCTTTTAAAGATTTTATTTATTTATTTGACGGACAGAGATAGCAAGTAGGCAGAGAGTCAGGCAGAGAAGCAGGCTCCCTGCTGAGCAGAGAGCCCGATGCGGGGCTCAATCCCAGGACCCTGGGACCATGACCTGAGCTGAAGGCAGAGGCTTTAACCCACTGAGCCACCCAGGCGCCCTAACTTCATTTTCTTACAGTATATTATTCATTCAGCATTACTAAAAGCCCTGTTCAGTGTTATGAACTGTGCCAGGCTCTTGAGATACATAGTTGAATAGGACACTGCCCCTGCCTTCAAGGAATTCACAACTTAGTGGGAAAGAGTGGTTTATAAGCTAATAATTATAAAACTGTGTAATGAGTTTTTCCATAGGTGTGTGAATGCAGTGCCTTGAAAATTCAAAGATGAGGGGTACTTGGATGGCTTGGTCAGTTAAGCTCTGGAGTCTTGGTTTCAGCTCAGGTTGTGATCTCATGGTTGTGAGATCAAGCCCTGCAGGGTCTGTGCCCAGCAGGGAGTCTCTTTAAGACTGTCTCCGTCTCCCTCTGCACCTCCACCCACTCTCTCTATATATAAAATAAATAAACCTTAAAAAGAATAATTCAAAGATGAGGGGCGGCTGGATGGCTCAGTTGGTTAAGCTTCCAATCTCGGGGTTGTGGGTTTGAGCCCCACATCAGGCTCCACGCTCAAAGGAGAGTCTGCTTGAGATTCTATGTCTCCCTCTCCCTCTACTCCCTCCCACACACTCTCTCTTTCTCTCAAATAAATGAATATATATTTTTAAATTTTTAAAATTATTTACTTATTTATTTATTTGTTTTGATTTGACAGACAGAGATCACAAGTAGGCAGAGAGACAGGCAGAGAGAGAGGGGGAAGCAGGCTTCCTGCTGAGCGGAGAGCCTGACGCGGGGCTCCATCCCAGGACCTTGGGATCATGACCTGAGCCGAAGGCAGAGGCTTTAACCCACTGAGCCACCCAAGCGCCCCTCAAATAAAAATAAATAAATCTTTTAAAAACAAAAGAACTCGAAGATGAGGGAGTGGGTAGAGACAAAAGCAGTTTGACTTAACCCACACTGATACAGTACAGCATAGAGAAGACCTGTTACTGTCTTTGTGATTCTGAACCTCATCTTCTTTTCTTACCCCATCCTTAGGCTAGGATAAAGATAGAAGAGGTATGTCTTCTTTTTCCTTCCCTTTCAATAATGTCTTCAGAGAATGACTCCATATGGTATAATTTCCCTTACTTTCTTCAAAATCTTAACCAACAAATCATTCTGAACGATTTGTCACAAACTGAGGGTTCTGAATAGTCACAAACACATACTAGAGTTCAACCCCCAAAATTGTAACAGGACAACTTGGCATTTTAATATGGAATGTGTTCCTTGTACTTGTAGCTGAATTTGTAAAGCTGGCAGAATTGCCATGTCTGGAAGACCTGGTGTTTGTAGGCAATCCCTTGGAAGAGAAACATTCTGCTGATGGAAACTGGATTGAAGAGGCCACCAAGAGAGTTCCCAAACTGAAAAAGCTGGATGGTGAGTGACTCTGGGCGAGTTTGGGCCAATGCTTTTTGGGTATAAGGATTGAATTTGTGACGTGGAATAATAAAAAGGAACAAAACTAAAAAAGAAATAGCTTTTCCCTAATCTCCAAAGCCATTTCATTCCATAGGAAATTTTATAGTCCGGGGTCGAGCCAGGGTGAGATGAAAACCTTCTAGCATACTGAGACTGGTATAAGGTCATCCCTAGACCAGGAACTTTTAAGAAAGCTGGTTTTGTTCTCAAGTCAGGTATTATTTTGCAGGATAACTAGACATAAATGGTAAGCAGTCTCTTTTTCACAACTGGACCAAAATTGTAGTTTCCGCTCTACCCCCACCCTCTAATTGTAGTTAACCAATATTTAAGATAGGTGTCAATGTTTGTAGATATCCCTGACTGATTGGGTTCAAGTTCCAGTTCTCCCACTTAATAGCTTTTTCGTTATCGTGCTAGTTAATTAATTTCACCAAATCTTTTTCTTTTATAAACTAAAAACTGGAAATGATAATAGTCCCAGACTTCTCTGGATCTTACCTCCTCCCAGGAAGTCAGGCAAGGATCCCAACTGTTCCAGAATCCACAGACTTCTCTCTTTCTGCCAGCCCAGGGAAATAACCTTTCTAATCTGAAGAGAATCACTATTCCCCTCCTTTATTTCCACATCATTCTGCATGTTCTCACAAACTGTCTTCCAGGAATCTTCTTAGGCCTTTCAAAGACAAAAGCCGGTAAGTCTGACGGTCTTTACTTTCCACATGCCCCTGTAGCAGTGATCCAGAGCCAACTAGGCTACCTAATTGAATGGAGAGAAATAAAAATATTTAGAAGAAACAAATAAGCAATATCCAGCTACGTAATCATCATCATCATCATCCCATGTACCAAATATATATTTGCCCTATTGTCTTTTTTTTTAAGATTTTTAAAAATTTATTTGACAGAGAGAGATCACAAGTAGGCAGAGAGACAGGCAGAGAGAGAGAGAGAGAGGAGGAAGCAGGCTCCCTGCCGAGCAGAGAGCCTGATGCGGGACTCTATCCCAGGACGCTGAGATCGTGACCTGAGCTGAAGGCAGAGGCTTTAACCCACTGAGCCACCCAGGCGCCCTGCCCTATTGTCTTTAGCACCATACCCACACTGACAGTCACATCCAAATCAGAAGGACTTAGCTGTCTGTGGTTGAGGCTTCCTTGTCCCTCAGCCCTTCTCTTCCCTCTTTACCACCCCCACTGCCTTGTCATTCTATCCTTTCTATATTCTTTGTCTCCCTATCGCTCCCCTACTATCTCTCTCAGAGCCTCACTACGCAACCCTTTTATCCACCCCAGCTTACTGCAGTGGTTGTTCTTCAATGGGGCCACACCCCTTCGAAGATATCAGATATTTTAGAATCTCTCGGGAGAGAGTAAAGAGGTCTCTATTGTTTGAAAAATTTCACAGGTGATTCCGGCATGCCTCCCTGGAAGATATTTGCTCATCTGTCCTCCAGTTGAGAATTATTGATGTGAAAAGCTCTTAACTATCTATTTTCCTATACCAGAAAGTTTTAGCAGCTTGACTGACATTTAATTGACACACAGTTAACTGCACATATTTCAAGTGTGTAATTTGTACATTTTGTTATACATATACACCTCTGAAACCATCACCACAATTAAGATAATGAATATATGATGGTGACTATAGTTAATAGTACTGTCTTACAGCAACTTGAAAGTTGCTTAGAGTGGTTCTTAAAAGTTCTCACCACACGCACACACGCACACACACACACAGAAGTACTTATGTAAGGGGATGAATGTATTAACTAACATTGTGGTAATGAGTCCATAAAATACATGTATATCAAATCATCACTTTCATACCTTAAACTTACACAGTGCTATATCAGTCATATCTCAATAAAGCTGAGGAAAAAAGATAATAAACATATGCATCACCCCCAGAAGTGTCCTCGTGCCTCTTTGTAATCCCTCCTTCCTGGTCCTTGCCATCATCCCTCCCAAGGCAATCACTGATTGCTTTCTGTCTCTATAGATTAGTTTGAATTTTCTAGAGTTTTATATCAGTGGAATCATGCAGAATGTTTTCTTTTTTCCTGGGTGCATATGTAGGGGTAAGGTGACATACTTATGGAGAGGTACAGGAATAATTGGGAAGAAGAAAACAGGTTTCTAAGATACTGGTAATGTTCTATTTCCTAAATTGGTGGTGGGTATATAATCATTAGCTTTATTACTCCTTAAATTATTTATATTGCATTTATATGAATGAATATTTCATAATTTAAAAATAAAATTGAAAAAAGGAGGTAGGGACATTAGAGTCTTGAACTTTAGCTTTTTAACGTTCACCTTTGGTTGGATTCTAGAAACCATTTAAAGTCATTTGTCTTCTTTCAGGATTGCATACAGGAAATAAAACCCTTCCCTTAAAACTGGAACAGAACCTCCCCCCACCCCATGTAGACCTTGAATAGACCAAGCCACAATGTAGGCTTTTGGACCAAGTATTGACCTCAAGCCAATCCAAACAGCCCCTAGGAGAACCAGCTTGGTCTACCCTAGTAGAATAGATGAGAACAGAGATAGCTACAGCTGCTCATTTGCCTACTTTTGCTTCTCTTCTGTTGCTTATAAGCAGAACTGGGGAATCTTAAAAAGCTCAAATGAAAAGAATAAGGCCAAATATTAGTGGGACATGGAGAACTAGAACTCTCAGACCTTGCCAGATGGTGATGTAACTTGGTATAACCACTTTGGAAAACTAGCATTATCTATGAAAGCTCTACATACATATCCGTTATGAACCCACTTTTCCTCCTAGCTATATACCCAAAAGAAAAGGATATATATGTTTACCAAATGACGTGTATGAGAATGTTCATAGCAGCACTATTTTAATAGCTATCAATTGGAAACAACCCAAATGCCCATCAACAATAGAATAAATTATGATGTATTCATACAATGTAATATTAAACAGCAATAAGAAAGAATGAACTACAAATTTCGCACAGTATAGATGGGTCATGCAAACATAATGTCGAGTAACAGAAGCCAGACACAGAATGTATATCAATTTCAAAAACAGGCAAAATAACCTGTGGTGTTGGACATTAGGATAGAACATGCTTTTTGTGGGGGATAGTGAACGGAAGGGGCCCTGAGGAAGTTTTGGCGGTTCTAATAATGTTCTCTACCTAATCTGGTGCTGATTACCAGATGTGTTCACTTTGTGTATATTTATTGGTCTGTACGCTTATGTAATTTGTGTACTTTGGATGTTATACTCCAATAATACGTTCACTCTCCCCCTGCAAAAAGATGCTGTGGGGAGTACAGAGGGATGAAACTCTGCTTGCTGACATAAAGAACATAAATGTTCATTACGGAAGGATCACAGAGGAAGAGGCACTGGAATTGGTTTCTTATTAAGGGTGGGGTTTAGATGGAAGGAGAGTTGTGGGGTGGGGGGACATTCCAAAATGGAGGAACTCTGTTGAACAAGGCTCCAGGGGTAAGAGTGTGCACAGTGAGTTTGGGAGACAGTGAATTGATCAGTTTAGCTGGTGCAGAAGGTGACTGTCTGAGGAGTTAAGACAGAACAGTGGATCGAGGTCAAATTGTGGGCAGGCTTCAAATGCCAGTGCTCAGAAATGGGTGGCCCTTGGCCCAGTAACAGCCTGCAGATATGTCCCCCCCCCCAAATTTGTCCCTATTGTTTAATATTTGGGAGAATAATACAAAAATTCAGATTTCTGGCAACACTGGGCTTGTATATTTTATTGTGAAAAATGAAGAATATTTCTTTGTGTTTAACATACAAAGTTTTTTACTGTGGATTGGGCTTTATTTTTCTGCCTGGCACCTGTAACCATTTCATTTGCAACTCTGCATTTGGGGAGCCATATTCATAAGTACTTACATTAATCCATTTGAGAATTTCCCTGAGGGGCTTTTTGGATAATTTGAAATTAAGGAGATTATTTTATAAAATTATTTTTATTATGGCACACTTCCTAGCATCTCATAGCTTCTCAAGTTAATAGGAAAATATTTTCATTTAGAATTTTAACAATCTTTTGAGAATAACCAGAAATAATTTTCTTTTTCATTTTAGGTACCCCAGTAATTAAAGAGGATGAGGAAGAAGATAACTAACACCATGTTTCCTGCTTTGTGTTAACTTATTTAAATGTCATAAGAACAATAGATAAGTTTTGTATAATTGTCTATTTTAAAGATTCTGTGTGGGGCAAAAGGTTCTTCAGATAAAACAAATCTCTCATTCCTTTCTTTTTTTTAAACCTATTGAGTGTTTCTCCCCGCAAACGGTAACACCAACTTCATATATCCAAGTACTTTTTTTAGAAACTCAAATTCTCAATTTTTTGTCTTCAGTCCCAGTTATGTACTATGTGGCCCCGTCTACAAAAGTTTTATAGACCAGTCATTTTTAACAACAAAGAACAACAAATACCGTTCTTTATTCAGCTTGGTTAGGTTTTTGGTTTTTTTTTTTTTTTTCAGACCAGGCATTTAAATATATATACTTAACTTTTGAATCTGTAAACCATCTTTCCTGAAGGTCCATGTCCTTATGACTCAGAAGCACAAATGTGTTATGCCTTTGGTTTAGAAGGCACCACAGTGACAGGAAGGGTTCCTCTTAGAAGAAATACAGAGCAGTCCTAGAACAAAGACTCCCAAAGTCCAATTGGAAAAGCTGTGGTGAAAAAGGAAAAATTAATATCTTGGAGGCCTTATAGCCCATGTTATATTTACTTATTTGTTTTTCTAAAAAATGTGTGCATTGTCAACTGGAATTTAGCTTGTATTTGCATGCCCGGCCACTTGAGTCGCTGTGCACAGTCAGTCATGCTGTGGTCCGGGTCAGTGGTGAAAATGACGGCCATGATAATTCCTTTGACCACTACTGTGGTCATGTTATTCATGTGGACCTGACTTTAGGCACACTTTTTGGTTTATAGTCCCTTATATGTTATATAAGGGAATATATGTAAACAGTAGTTATATTTGAATTCCTAGTGTAAATGTTGGCTATTCATATATATCAAAATTTTCTCCAATAACTTTGTTCTGTTGACCCTCATGGTCATGTTGGGAGAAGTGGTTGCTATAAATAAGGATATAGAACTTAAAAGATTGCATCTGATACCTTTCAGTAGATTAAATTTAGAATCTCAAAATATATTTTTAGAATGTTTCTAAGGTAGACAGCTCTTAAAATGAATTATGTAAGTGATTATGGAGGGAAAAGAGAAGAGATATTTCATTATGGGATCCCAGGCAAATGGCAATATTTTTGAAGATTGCCTTCTCTATGAAGCATGGTAGGTGATTTAACCTCAAAATTGCAAAGCAATAGTTGGATACAGAGCTTAGAATTTGTAAGGGAAAAAAAAAAATCCTTTTGGAAAGTACCAGGTATAGTAGTCAGTAACCAGAGGAAGTTCATAGCAAGTCATGACTGAATCACAGATTGCAGAAAAGAAGTCAGAGGCGCTCTGCCAAATTGTGCCTAAAGTCCCTCAACCAGAGACTGATTCTTATTTCCCCATTTACTTGTGTAAAATCAGTCAGAGGGGAGAGTCATTTTTTTAAAAAAGTGATTGCATAGTCCTAAGTTTCAGAAAATTTCAGCTATTATTTAAGTGGGAATTACATGATTTCTCTGAGTCACTCTGATCTAAAGGGACCACTGCTTTGACAATCAATACTAAGTATAAACAGCAAGAGGAAAAATGAGTCCAACACTTTTTTTAGCTTCCTTTTTGTTCTTCCTCATAATCTGATAGGAAGAAATCTTTACTCTGGCTTATACATTCAAAGCCTCTGGGTACTTCTTTTGTGAACTGTAGACAATGAGTATTCCCCATGGTGATGTTTAAGTCCCCCAAACTAGGAGGGAAGACGATCTTCTTCGGTTGTAGTTTACACTTCACCCAGTAGGCAAGCTTAAAGCCATTTTACGATGTATGGATATATTTTCAAAAGTTACTCTGGAAGTGAATGTAATAGGAAGGGATGACTTCATATTGAATCTGTAAAATGGCTTACAGTGTTGGTGTGTGGTTTTCTGAATTTTATAATATAGAAACTAATTTTCTCTGCTTCTCCTTGTTTCTTAATGTCTTTAATCACTAATAGTTCTCAAAGAAATGAAAGGTGCTTTTCTGTGTCCATTTCACACAAAATTCATATTTCGTTTCAGCAAATATTTGAATGACTTCTGTGCATCCTTTTCATGGAGTTAAAACCAGAATCCATGCCATTAGAAGATGGAAGATAGGATGTAGGAGTACGTTCTGAACATTCTCTCCAATCATTCCTTAAATCATCCTTTACTGTTGCAAATTTAGCTGATATTAAATCCCTTTGGTTTATGGATTAGACACTTGACCTACTTGGAATGGTTTCTCTCTGTGCTCCTGGTTTAAAGCATTATGCCATTTTAGTGGCTCATTTAAATTTCTTCTATTCTCATAATGATGGTAGAGCTCTAAAATCAGTTCAGTATTTTAATTTTTCACAGGTAACTTGATTTTAGTCTACAAAGAATTCAACTTTTCTGTGTTCCTTAACTCTAAGCTTATGGGTATATTACCTGGTCAAGACCTTGAAAGGTTTTTGTGTTCTCTGTTCATAGGATTTTATTCCTTTAAATCAGAGTTTCTCAGTTTCTTGGCCCTATTAACATGTTGGGTTGGATGATACTGTCCTGTGTATTACAGGATGTTTAACAACATATCTGGCTTCTCCTCACTAGATGCCAGTAGAACCCCCTGCTTAGTTGTAACAACCACAAATATCTTCAGACATTACCATCTGTCCCTTCTGGCAGGGGCATAGGAGCAAATCTGCCCCTGGTGAAGAACCAGTGCTTTATACTAACATTCCTTTTGTCCAGGGTGCATTATTTTCACTCCATAGTCACATATGCCACCTGAGTTATTATATGCGAGAAGGTGTCGTATTTAATAATCATGGGTGGAACGAAAATGGTCCTTGGTGTTTTTCTCTTTGGTAATGGTCATTTTAATAATTTTCATATAACACTAGAAACTCAGGGCTGGAAGGTTCAACTTATATTTTTCAGCAGGGTCTCAACTTCTATTTCTTAGCACTCTTGCTTTTCTTAGGACAGTAATTATTAACCTACCTCTCTCTTACTCTAACAGAACTCAACTTTATGGTATATTTTTCTTTATCTCTAAAGTTGAACTTTCTGAGTGTGCTTTTAGAAAATGGATCATTAACTGTTCATTCTTTAAATGTTCCTTCATTGTCCACTAATGCATAGAATTTTCCAGACTGTAGCAGTCGTTAAATACAGAAAAGTATTGTATAAAATTTGGCAAAATTTGGCAATCAGATGTGAGTTAGCTGGTGTAGACATCAATTTTGAATGTGATCAGAGGAATGTCTGATGATGATAGTTGGTCACTAACTCGGTATAGTTATAAGATACTTAAATGTGGTTCTTGTGAGGAAAAATAAATTTTGGCTTGAATAGATGCTTCTTCTTATACCTTTTACCAGTGGTCTGAATTGAAGTAGAGTAACAAAGAATAAGAAATGAATCTTAACTGTTGACTTATTCTCAAAATCGGTGATGTGTAAGTGGAATGGAAGATTGTTTATCTCTCTGACCCAGAATCTTCTACCTGGGTTTTTCTTAAGATTAAATGGAAGAAGTGTAGGGTCTAGAAAGGTTGGATTTAATCATTAACTTTTTAAAAATTGATGTGTGTTGGGGGGGGGAGTGTCAAAGTATCAATCATATGAGTAGTTAGTGTCTCTCTGACTGCAGTCTGTCAGTTTGTGAAGACCTTACTTTGTAAGTATTGGTAAAGGGAGGAAACTAACTGCTGAACTGAAAGTTATTCTTTAACTGAAATTAATTCCTTTGGCACACATTTTCTTTATTTAGGCTGCTTAATGGGTCTGTGAAAAAGTAAACATAAAGCAGAATTCAGTGTAATGGATTTGGTGCTCCCGTCACAGCTAACTTGACCGTATTCCTTTATCTTCACTCCAGCATGAGGTTTTGGTTTTTGTTTTTGTAAAACCATAAAATAGGTGCAATTAAAAAAAGGGTGTGTTTAAAAAAAAAAAATCACTGAACTTTTAGAAATCCCACATCTAAGTCTCTGTCCCTGCCTTTTTATAAGCTAATGACTACAAAGGAAGAAAACTGAAAGAAAAAAATGAGACGGAGTCTTAACTTTTTTTCTAAACTATCTAAACTTTCTCTTGCCACTTGGAGAAGTCATAACTGGATTCTAGTAAATTTCCCATATTGGGCTAAAATAGAGGGGAACCAGCCAACCAAATTCTGATCCAGCAAATTTAACAAGGGAGTGGGGGAGAATGAACTATTTTGAAGTAGATTTGCACTTTAAAATTATAAACTGGATGTTGGTGGAAAGTACTCCCAAAGGACAGATAAGTAAATACCTAGCCTGCACATGGATATTGGAGAATCCAACTTCGTCCTTGCTCGTTCTAAGCCCACCTGTGCAGTAGTTGTCTGTTGACATAATCAGAGTCAGGATTTCCCTGTGTCCCTCGTTGGTGTCATCTCCCACATCTGCTACATTGACAGTCGTCCCTCTGGGGAATGTGTCAAGTAGAATGCTCTCAGAATAGAAACTTCGTGAGTTATCTTTCCCACATCTAGATTTGCAAAATTAATTTAGATGTTGGTTAAATTAAGTTGTGGCTCGTGTTACAAGGGCGGGAAGTTCTTTGCTTCTTGGATCTGTCACAGGGTACCTGCCTCTGAGGTGCTATCGCCTAGAGGGATCAATTCCATCAGGACTGGTGAGTCAGTAGCTATGGAGAATACACATATAGCTAGCTACTTCTCCCAGGGTGTCAGTCGTGATAACGAGCATCATTCCAGAATCTTTGGCTTCTAGAACCAACTCCATTCTGAAGAACATTTTAACATCTATTAATACTTTGGTAATAATCTTTTATATGCAGGAATTTTGTAGCATGACTTTATGACTAAACTTATTGTGTTAAATTATTTAGAAATGTTGAGTTTCTGAATGTTATTTTGTGAGACATGTTTTAAAATAGTAATAAATTGTGTTATTTTATAAAAAAAATAATTTGTATCTTTTTTGGTTATATGACCCATTAGTTTTAGCTAGTACAGAGCAATGACGTGAACTTCCAATGACATTCAGTTCTGAAGAAATTTGGTCTTTGGATCAAACATTCCACACAGCTTGTGTGCGTGTGTATGAGAGAAGGGGGGGGAGAGATTGACTCATTTCTTTATGCTTTTTTTTCCCCCCTATAGTTCACCACCAATGACAGTCTCCTCTCCCAGTTTTGTAAGTCTTCGCCATAAGTTCTCTGGGCACCGTTTCAATGATTAGTAGCCTGGAAAGAGTGCTTCCCAAGACAGCAAGTTACTACTGCACGTGACAAGTCCTAGTCTTCTCCTTGCTAGTGGTATAGGAGGTTAAGATTGGTTAACAGGCCCCTGATGTGTGGTCTGGAATAACCTGACATTGGCCAGCCCCTTTTTGATACGTAAGAAATAGGGAAGAGCGTAGGTATGGACGTAACATTATATGCTGTCTCAGCACGTATTCTGCGCTATCGGCTGAATATAATTTTGGTCTCAGAATGGTACTGTAGTGCAGTTTCTACTTCTTTATTCCACAGTTCTTTGGTTTTAAGGATGTTTCTTGCTGCTATCCTCCTTTAAAAAGCAGATTTTAGTTTCTGAGCCTATAAAGAGAAACCTTAATTCAGATTTGAAACAGCTCATTACTTTTAGTTATTTTCTAGACTAAAGGGTGGATGTCTAGAATCCTGACATGTATACCATTATATGTATTGTATTAAATATATATGTATGTATATGTAGATATATAATTGTTATATATAATAAAAGAATCCTAAGTGATAACCCTCCTTTCTAAAATTTAGTCAACTCTGCAGCTATAAGAAGGTGTATCCCTATGTACAGACGTAGAAGGATGCCTGCAACACTGGGTGAAAAAAATGAACTATTTTTGTTATGAATGTAGTATGTGTGGGTGAGAAGGTGTGTATATGTGTGGTGGCCAGTTGGTGTGAAGTGGCAGTGGGAGCACATGTGTGTGTATGTGTGGAGAGACGGGAACGTATGGTTGGGGTGGAGACTGCTGCAGTGTATGCATGGGGGTGCGATACGATGGAGTGCTGGGGGGGGAGGTGGGAGTGGATGTGTGTGTACAGGTAAGATTCTAAGAAGTAAGTGGGGTGCGTGTACCGAGTGCCATGCCGCCAAGATGATGGGAATGAGTTGGGGAGTGGAGGAATGAGGCCATGTTTGGTGGGGGAAGCAAAGACACGGTATCTGTTGTTAGGGTCAAATATGTGGAGATCTCTGGAGAGAAGACTGTGAGTGTGGAACAGACCTGACACGGCAGATGAGGACATAAGTGAGTGTACAGAAAAATCTGTTAGACTGTATACCAGTATTAGCCTTTATAAATAATCTTTTGCCTTATGATTGTTAAATAGATTGGCTATAATTTTAAAGCCTTGTTACTAGGGGGAAACCCCACTGAACTCTTATGTTCATGTAACCATTTCTGGATTTATTGGGATCTCAAGACAAAACATCTTCAGTCACTGATTCTCTGCAGTCAAACATGTTTTTAAACTGTCCCTGTTTATACCATTTTCATATAAAAGGGCTGCTATAAATCTGAAACATTCATTTTAAACAGATATGAGGAATTATTCCTGTAGCAAAACATTTTTATTTTATTTTATTTATTTATTTTTTTAAGATCCCACCCATTCACTTGACAGACAGAGAACACAAGTAGGCAGAGAGGCAGGCAGAGAGAGAAGGGGAAGCAGGCTCCCCGCCGAGCAGAGAGCCCGACTCAGGGCTGGATCCCAGGACCCCGGGACCATGACCTGAGCCAAAGGCAGAGGCCTTCACCCACTGAGCCACCCAGGCGCCCTGTAGCAAAACATTTTTAGCTGAAAAGGGATTTAAAAGAGAAAAAGCATTGCTAGATAACATCCTGAGCCTCATTTCAGGATTTCTTAACATTGTATAATAAGTTAGTATTTACTTATGTCTATTTAGCCTTCTAACATTTGCCTGGTAGAAAACGTGCAAAAATGGAATACATCAAAAAGTTCTGCAATTTAAACTTACATAGTATGCTATAAAGCTTAAAGATAAAGTAACTGGTTTGATTTTCTTTTTTTTTAGTGACATGGGGAAGTCTTCCTAAGAGAATATAGAGCTTAATTACAATGAAATTTTGTATACGTGTCAGAAAAGACAACAGAATTTTTTAAATTCTTTTATTCATTTACATGTATTTTGATAACTTCGAATTTAGAACACTTAGAATCAGCATGAACAAGAACTACTATTCAATGACAAATATTTGAAATGGGGGAACAGATACTGTAACCGGTTCTTATTAGCCTCCCCATGCAATTTATATCTGTATCTTGTACAGAGAAAAACTGATTTACATAATTCTAGAACTGCAGTATTTTTCTAACACCCCATTCCATAGTCTCAGAATACTCAATTAAACTGATCCAGATGTTTCAAGATGAAAAGAAATTCGCTTTGTTTGAATAACTAAATAGCATCTAATTAAGTCACATTTCTTTCCATTAATGTAAATGAGGAGCAATTTACTGTAAACACAAAACTACTCACGGTATTAGTTAACAACGGCTCCTGTATTTACTGAACACTTCTCATGTTTGCCAGGCCCTGCGCTGAACATCTGAACATGCAATTTCACATTTAATTGCCTCAATGGGAAGTGTCACAAATTCACATGTTTTTTTACAACAAGTTTGCCACAAGGACAGCTTGCACTGAGCACCTGCAGACAGGTCTGTACTCGCACTGCAGCCAGTACCACCACTCCCTTGGAGCAGTGCAGGGTGCTCAATGGCCAGTCGGTACTAATGTTACACGAGTACCCAGGCCTGACTCCCCCCGCCCCACCCCCCAAAACAAGAGAACATGGCGAAGTCTTTACAACTAAGAGACACACCTGTAAGACAGCACAGAGACAAGGAAATCGGCTGTGATCTACATCTGCACTACAGTCCCACTCCTGGGGCTCAGAAGTGCCCCTCCAGGCCTAACTGCAGGAGGGCGACCTCAGCCTCCTCCTCCTCCTCCTTGGCCTCCTCCTCCCGGATCTGCACCAGCAGCTGGAAGAGATTAGGGGCAGGCCCTTCCCCAGCCCCCGTCAGCCACAGCTGCCTCCGGATGGCCCCGCTGTGGTTGGCCCCTGCAATGACCTGCTCCAGGCGGGCCTGGTTCACGTTATCTTTATCTATGGCCCCCTTCTCCACCACCTTCTGCAGAAGAGGCTCCAGACGAATGACATAGGCAGACAACTTCTCTCCCGGGTTCTGGTAAGTGTTCAGAAATCTGACCTGCGCGTCCCTAGAGCTCTCCACGCTGCCAAACACCTGCTCGAGCGCCTTCAGGCATTCGGCAGTGGTTATGGAAGGGTTGTTAGTCTTGAGGATGCGGATGACATCAGCGGCAGGGCCTCTAAGACTCTCCATCAGTCGCCGCCTCTTTTCTAAATCAGACACCTGCCACTCCTCTAAGACCTCATGAGTGTGTTCCAGCCAGGGATCAAAGGTCTCCTCCCCAGGCCCCGGGATGTCCCTCCCCGAGAACAGCGTCAGCTTCTTGTACCATATGGACTCAACAAGAGGCTGAATAACGTTATCCAAAATATAGTTTAGCATCTCTGCTGGCATATCTGGGCCTGGGGCCGGAGCGGGGTTCTGAAAGCCAAGGACGCGGGCAACATCTTGCACGGTCCACCCCTCTCTCGCTAGGAAGAGGTGCAACCTTTCTAAAAACTCAGCATCGGAAGTCGGGGGTTTAAAGACCACTTTCCAGACCCCTCCTTTCCCCGGCATCTCCCTGGGGATCGCGGCGTAATCGACAGCGCCAGTGAGCTCTAACAAGGCTGCTTTCGCATTCTCTTCCCTCCAAAACATTCTCCCAAGCACTCGATAGGGCACCTGGGGCATCGCAGCCTGGAGGGTCTCTTCGATTTCAGCCTCATCACAGTTCACTGGGATCCCCCAGACCAGCAGGGCTCTCTGGGAGTTCACATCCATCCCCCTGCACCAGTCTTCCAACAGTGTCATCGCCATTTTCCCAACTCTCACGGGCCCCAATTCTATAAATACGGATTAGGCTGTGTCTGCCTGTGCTCTAGGACTCAGAACAGCTGCCGACACTCGCCCCAATATGCCCGAGGGAGGCAAGCTTCACGCGATCACAATTAACAAATGACACCAGAATCCTGCTCTTGTCCTTTCGCTGCCCGCCCCCCAAGTCAGTCCGTCGGCTCGTTCTCGGAGCGAAGCCTCGGGGAGGCTGAGGCAGTAGGTCACGCGTCCTCCGCCACCTTGCGTCTCCGGTCGGGGTCCGCAGCCGGGGTCTCCACGCGCAGGCAGGGGGTCGCGGCGCGGCGAAGAAGGCGAGGAGCGAGGGCGGGTGGCCAAGGCTGGAACCGCGGGGCTGGAGGGGCGCCGGGGTGTGGCCGCGGGGCGTGGCCGCCTTCTCCCTGCAGCCGGGGCGCCGGGCACCCGCCGCACCTCCCGGGAGACGATGCAGCGGCGTTCGCGGTCGGAGGCCGGCCTTCAGGCTGAGAAGCGGCTGCTCTGCAGACGAAGGCTGTGTCGTCCCTGAAGGAACAGACAGTTCTGAGGTCTCGGCGGCGGCGGCGGCGGCGAGGCCAGCCCGCAAGCGGCTTCCTTGCAGACGCGGTGATGGCTTCAGGTGGCGAGGGCGTCTGAGGACCGAGGACACAGGCCAGGGAGCGGACTCGCCAGAAGGCCGGGGAAACGATACTGCAGGCGGCGGAGGCAGGGGCGGGAAGGGGCGTGCAGGGGCAGCCCTGCGCCGGTTGCAACCGGCTGCGGCGGTGTGGCGCAGCTCGGCCACCAGGTCGTCCGACCCGCAGCCCTCGGAGGCGTTCCTGCCGCAGTGGGGGGCGGGGCCGGCTCCGGGAGAGCCTTTCCGCCAGGTCCCGCCCCCGCGGCTGAGCGTAGCCATGGCAACGGCGGCCTTGAGGACGCGAGTTCCGTGCGCTCCCGCAGTTGGCGGGGGGTCGAGCGGTTGCCATGGTGCTAGCGAGGCGCTCCGGGCACGGCTTACTCGGAAGGCGCATTTCCTTTTTCACATTTTCCATTTTTTTTTTTTTTTTTTTTTTTTTTTTGTAAACAAAGCACCGTGTTTAAAAGAAAATTCAGGAGTAGAGTGAAGGTGACGTCCGTCAAGGCAGACTGGCCTACCACTGCGCAGGAAAAATACCGTCTTGAGTGCCGCGGCTTCGTTTGTGCCACCTGATTGCCTTCTGCACGCTCCGTACTTCATCTCCACGAAACCAACACGTGGGAAGTGTGCCTTGTACATATTTTTGTGTGAGACACTGAGTTGAGACTTTTCCTTGTCTAAAATTTTGTAAAAGTATCTGTATCTTTTCAGGAATCTTTGTAGCCAGGCAAACGCTAGCTTGTTGTTTTTCCCGTCCTGGCATCGTTTGACAAAGAGGTAATAAAAGAGAATCTTTATGGTTCAAATCTGTCAAGTAATCCCCTGCAAGCAAAACGGGGCCACCCAACCTCAATCCCGGGTGGTGAAAATCTCCCCAAAAGAACACAGAATTCAACTCTGAATTTTTAAAACCTTATTTAATAAAAGGTTTAAAGATACAGAAGAACATTCAAAAGTAAATAAGTTACATAGGTACATTACAATCACATCCGCAAGATTTACTTTAGTGTGTTATTTTTTCTTTTTTATAAAAAGCACACAAAAAATAAAATCTTCAGTCTGGTCTATCACAACTGTACAGCAAAAGAGGTAATATTTATATATATATATATACACGATTTTAATATGTAACAGTCTTTTTAAAAAAGGGTGCCACAGGCAGCAAACACACAAAAGGCAGTGTCTGATCATTTTTTTTCCAAAATAAAAGGAATATACTTATTTATATGCTATTAAAATATTTGTACAATAATTACAGACTGTCAAGGCTGTTCCTGTGCTGTCCCCTCCAAACAAGGCCTTCAACTTAGAGACAAATGAGGGAAAGCTGAAACAGCTGCAAACTGTTAGAGGCAAATATTAACACAGCAAACTATGGGGAGGACATACATTTGTTGTATAAAAATATGCATACTTCCTGTAAACCTAAGGAGTTAGGCTTGCCAGTCTGGTAATAAATACCATTCGAAAAAAGACAGCCCCAGGGAAAATATATTTAAATAGCTGAGGCTTGAGTATGTGTTGTATTCCTCCTTCATCTTAACATCTGGCACATGAGAAGAAAGAGGTCAGGTCACTGAGGCAGTTAAATATAGGGGATCTCTTTAGACATAAGCAACATACAACCTCTGTCAGGGGTAGGGGGGGTGGCAGAAGGGAGGAGGGTGTACCTTAGCTGTGAGGGGGACTGCTGAAGGCATGGAGGACAGTGTGCTGGAGCACAGTCTCCTTGGGTGGGTAAGACACCTCAGAAATGGTCTGGAACACAGGCACTAGTTAGTTTCATGCCCTTAGCTAAGTGTGGATGGAGACTGGAAGATGGATATGGGAGACGGTGTGGGGAAGGCATCAGAAAAGCCGGAGGTGTTTGTCATTTAACTTCTTAAAGCAAACAGCTCTGAACAGAAGACAGTAAGAAAAAGAATTAACAGAAGACGAGCCGATTGTGTTCACAGGGAGAAAGCACCATAAAGGATATACCTGTCCCAACTCCTATGGCTGCACCTACTTTGTTCGCAGGTCACTTGGAACAATGGCATCTGCCCGCTACACTTTTTTAACTTTCACCAAATATTCTAGATATGACTCCATCATGGAGCACGAGCCCTTCTAAAATACAGTGTCTGGTGGAATTAATACAGAGGTACCAGCTTGATTTTCTCCACCAACATTTACCCAGTCTGGTTTCTATGAGCTTAGAATAGGAGAATCACTCTAAACGAAGCAGGTTTCCTCTTACCATGTGTCTACAGAGGGGCCTGAAACTAAATACTACTGAAATAGAAAAAACCTCGGGAAACATAAGTAGCACTTTGGGGCAAAGCTGCGAAGGCACTCTTATTACACAAGTGATTGAGAAGACAGCCTAAATTTGCCACCTTCCTGTTTCCGGAGGTTATACCAGATTTTTGCAGTCTTGGGACCTTGAAGAAGCCTTTGGGGGAAATTAACTGGGAACTTGAAGATCTAGGTAGCTTCCTGGAGTCTGGCAGGGAGAAGAATTTTGTTACTCCCATCGCTGGGGTCCTGAAGAACCATATTAATGCATAAATGAATGCTGAAAAACACCTGTTAGTGCATAGTTTAGAAAGAAACTCCCTCCCCACTCCCTATCAGACAAGGCGCCTTTTGGCTATCTCATAAGGAGAGTGGCAGAATTTTTAGCTCCTTCCTAACCTGCTGACCTGTCCTTTACTTGCATTCACTTGTAACTTTTAACACAACTAAGGCTGAATAACAAGATCAGAAAAGTAACTCAGCCCTCCTATAGGACTGGCAAGTGCTGGGGCCCCTAGAAACTTCCAGCCCTTCACTTCAGTGACTCCATGCCAAATATGGCTTCAGTCAAGCCAGAAACAAGGCCAGAATCCTGGCTTCCAGCCAATCCCCTCAGGCAACTTGAAAATACAGCCAGAGAAGAGGTAGCAATTAAGAACTGCCTTTGATCTCCCTTGCTTCTGCTAGTCTTTGTGTGGCTTTGGTGACACCTTACACCTTTCTACCCTCTTTCAGTGCTACTATCACTCCTAATGGCAAGAGCTTCCAGAGCAATGAGGTGAGGGACCTTAGGAATGGGAGGGTGGTGGGGTGGATGCCAAGAAGGTGCCTTGTTTTGGGATAAATGCACTTGGGCCTCTGTAAAGCAGGAGGCCCCTGGTCCCTGAGAGGATGTTAAAAATTAAATATTACGAATAAATAAATAGCTCCCAAATGACACAAGTCAAGGAATGAAGGCTCCTGTCCAATCTGGTTAGGAGACCTCCCCCTCCCAGGGAAGGATCCAGAAATCTCCAGCATGCAGGACTGGGGGCTGCGCTAGACCAGATGGGATGGGAATAGAGGGGAGCTGCCAAGGGCAGGAAAGAGGCAGGGAAGGAACTCGCACCAAAGGGGAGCAGGCTGGGCCCCGGATAAGCTCCCTTTGCAGCCTCCAGGGCCCAAAGGTGTTTGGCAAAAAGGTGGGAAGCAGGAAGAGCCAAGGTCTATCAAAGAGCTCCCTCCAGCCCAGTCCGGCAGCTTCCACTCTCTGCACCCTTCCTAGCCCTCCCAGCGGCTCCGGAGAGGAACGCTGCCCCACCCCCACCCCACCCCCATTCGAGAAACTGTTCAGCCCCAGCAGGCTGCGGGCCAGCAGCAAAGGGACAGGCACCTGTCCTCTGACCTCTAGGCATTCCCGCAGCTTTCCTCCCAGAGGAGGTGGCCTGAGGACTGGGTCACTGGAGAGGCGTAGGCCTGGCAGCACAGGTACTAGGCTGAGCTCCCTCTCAAGAGAGGACCGCCACACTCCCTCCAGGGGAGTCCCTTTTGTCGGGGGCTTGGGGGCAGGACCAGTGCCGCCTCTGACATCCTCGGGGAGGGGAACCACCCTGCCAGGCTCTCCACGACCGAAGGGGTGGGGGGTGGGGGGTGGGGGGGTGGCGGGGACACACAAAGACGAACGGAAGAGGCTGCGCGGTGGCAGAGGTCCCGGCAGAGGTCCCGGCGTGGGTAGCGGCGGTGGCAGTGGCGCCCCTCCCGAGGGGCAGCCCCTGCCGGCGGGGACCTTCGCGGTTCCAGGAGAGCGTAAGGACGACTTCCGACCCCGAATGCAAGAGAGCTGGATCCTGTAGCCCTGAAGACTGCTCCTGGGCCTTTGATAACTAACAGAGCCGTTTATTTTATTGTCTCGTTTTGCAGAGCAGAGTCCGCGCCGGCTCTCGGCGCTCCCTCTGGCGGCCCCTGGGGGCTGCAGGAGCTCGGGCAGGCCTCGGGGCGCCGTCTCCGCCGGGCACCCCCACCCCGGGCCCGTCAGCCCCGCTCCCCCGCGCCGCTCTCCTCGCGCAGGGCCGGCTGGTGGGGAGAGTTGGCGGCTGCGGTGGCCGCAGCAGCCGCCGCTTCCTTCTCCTTCTGCCTCAGCGCGGCCGCCTTCTTCTCCTGCTCGGCGTGGCTCTTCATGTGGGCGCTGCGGCTCTTCACCTTGTAGAACACCCTGCGGCCGGGCAGGAGGGGCTCAAATCAGAGGGCCGGCCCCACTCCCCGAAACCACCAGGCCCGACAGCGTGCGTGCACGCGTGTGTTTGTGCAGTGTGCGAATGTGCACCCCACCGGGGTGCCCCCGCCCTGCCTGATGGTCTCCGGCCACACGGCCCACTCACTCCCACCCCTATTCTAGGGGAGAGATGGGTTCCTGACTGGGCACCGTCATCCCTCTCCTCTGAGCCGCCAGGTGACATCACTGCCCTAGAAACCCTCGTTGCCAATCAGAAAGCAAGGCGAGAGCTCCCACTACCTCTGCCCTTTCCCCTGGAAAGCAGCTTTCCCTGCCCTCCCCAGGGGTGGCCACTCTGCTAGGTCCCAGGGGAGGCAGGGCCCACCATCTTACCTGCCACATTTTTTACAAGGGAAAGTGTTCTCCTGATTTTGGGTCTTGTTAAATGTCTCCGGTTTTTTCTTCTTCTCTGAAAAAGGTAGTGCCCTCCGTGACTTCCCAGCGCCCTCCCTTGGCTTCTCTGAGGCCTGGCCACCAGCAGACCCAGGGGCATTGGATTCATGGCTCCGGAGGATGAGGACGTCATTGGCCTGGAGAGGATCAGACAAGGACAGGTGAGATTGGGAAAGAGAGTTTCCTGAATTCTAGCATCGCAGGGAACAGAGGGCTCTTGAAGGTCCTATGCTCCTCCCAAATGGCCTTCTAGAATCTACCTGAATCTTTTCAGTGACAAGGGACTCACCTCTTTTTGGCAGCTGATTCCAGTCTTTGGCCAACTCTTCCCCCCCCCCCCGCCCCCCGCCCAAGGATTTTTAAATTTTTATTTATTTGACAGAGAGAGAGACAGCGAGAGAGGGAACACAAGCAGGGGGAGTGGGAGAGGGAGAAGCAGACCCACCACTGAACAGGAAGCCTGATGTGGGGCTCGATCCCAGGACCCTGGGGATCATGACCTGTGCTGAAGGCAGCCGCTTTAACAGCTGAGCCGCGCAGACGCCCCGTGGCCAACTCAATCTCTACAAAGCTGTTGGTACAGCTGTTCTGTGGGACAGCCCTAGCTGCCACAGGACTTCCCCATGCATCTACCTGATGGGGAGGCCTAGATGTTTCCATTAATGATGTCTGCACGTCTGCAGTCATCTAGCCCATTCATTCGTGCCTGAATTCCATAAATGAGATGCAAGTCCACGCGACTATGCCAGGTGCTGGGGATACAGAGGTGACAGACAGGAACCCCTGCTCTCAGAGAGCTCACAGTCTAGTAAACAGGACAGACAACAGGAGCCACCAAGGGAAATACCAAGCAGGCAAGCAGACGATGGAGAGCAGAGGACCGTGGCACAGAGCTGGAGAGGTGCTGCTCAGGACATAGAATCATGGGCCCTGAGTCAGGGAAGCCTCAGATGGCCATCAAGAGTCATGTCTGTGCACGGGCTGACCCTCACAGGGAAGTGTTCACAGAAGTCGGCAGAACTCCATGCAGCTTGTGCACAGAGGACAGCTCCCGGAGAAGGAGCGCAGCCAAGTCTCCAAAGGGAGGAGACAGCTGTGAGTCTGCAGTCTGGGCTGAAAGCGCAAGTGTACGACATACTTGTTTTTTGTCGGTTTTTTTTTTTTTTTAAACTCTCACAGTAGTTCCCTGATAGGCCCTTCCCATCCCTACTCTCTTTGGGGGCACCTCTCCCTGACAAGGAACACCTCTGGCTGGTACGTCCTGCTTCTTGGTCTGCGACAGAGCGGGTGGGGCCTCATTCCGAGAACCACGGGCAAGTTACTCAGCATCTCTGAACCCAGTGTCCTCTATGTTCCAGGTACGGGTTAACACTTTATGGGGTTACCGTGAGGAATCAACGAGAAATAATGGGCAGGAGGGCACCATGCGGAGAACACACGTGAGGGGCCGTTCTCATGGTCGCAGCTTGTTCTTGTCAGATGTTCTTGGCGGAGACACAGCTCACTCAGGGGCAATCTGCCTGACCTACAACTCATAAATGCCTCCCCACCGTCCCACACGCCTTTAAGGTCTTCCCATAGCTTTCTTCTTGAGTCTCAGATCCAGACGCAATATAGTATAAAAATTAATAGCAGACTTTGGAGTCTGGCTGCCTACTAGCTGTCTTACCTAGGGGCCTCAATTTCCTCATCCGTAAATGGGAATAATGACAGTACCTACCACACAGGTTATGAGGATTAAAGGAATTAAAAGCATAAAGTACTTAGAACATATCCTGCTGTGGCAATGATGATCGATGATCGCCATCACCTTGTTCCTGTTCTGCCCTCCCTCCCGCACCCCCAGGCCCAGCTCCAGCCCTCCTCCTGGCCCTGGACTCCCCCAGCGGAGGTCACACTTACCGACTCATTGGCCTGTAGTGTCTGTGTGGCTTTGACAGCCGCCGCCCTCCGGCTTCTCTCTCGCCCCTCTTCCTGCTCTCCCTTCTCCGGGATCTCTGGCACTTCCTCCTCCCCCTCCTTCCTGGTCTCCTTTACTTCCCTCTTGGGCTCCAGCCTCTCTTCACTTGGAGACTCTCTTCTGGGAGGAGGCACCCTAGGGAACTTCTGGGAAGTCTACAGGGGACAAGACCAAGGGCAGTGAGCCTGGAGCGCGGTTACACAGCCGTACTGCCCTGATTCTGACCCAGCCAGAGGCCTCTAGCCCCTGATCGTCCTGCTTGCCTGGCCCTGCCCGGCCTCCCATGCTACAACTCCATTTCCTGCCCCCACTGGTCTACCAAGGAAGGACGATGGGAGTCTTGAGCCCTGGAGGCCCTCATGGAAGAGACAGAGCCCTTGAGACTGAATTAAAGGCAGGGAAAGTACAGGCCAGTCCAAGACACACCCTTCAGCAAGGTGGTCTGGTGGGGCCAGGCAGCAGCCTTAGCTGCAATCCTAAACCACCTCTGTCATGCTTTCGGGACCTGAGCCCACTTTCCACCTGCACAATGGGGACCAAAACAATCTCTCCTTAGTACAGCATGTCAGCAAGCGTGGACTTTGAACCCCAAGATGATGTCAGGTGGATACATGGCCAGAGAATTAAATAATATCCGCTCTTCAATTTTCTTTCAATCCCGACTGTGTCCAGGACAAAGTTTTGAGTCGGGTCTTAGCGTGTCTTTTATACTTCTCCAGATTTCGTTAAACAGAGATCAGGCCCCAGACTCAGAGCCTTGGCAGGTAAGAGTATCTACCCAGAATTTAATAACACTGTTTGATTTTCATTATCTATCTATTTTTAATGTACCTTCTATGGCAAACAATACTGGTTTTCTATGACTGTGATACAGTGTTTCTCTTCTGAGTAAGAAATGAGTTGATTGAAAGAAAAATATGAAGTAGTAGCACAGGTGGTGTGTGATAGTGACACAATCAGTAGCAGTGCTGCATAGTTGGGCAACAGGGTTAGAGATTTGCCATGAGGGGACAGTAAGTCAGGGCTGGTCCAAGTACTGTGGGAAAACTCCCGAGGTTCTGCACTGACACAATCTATTATTCCCATGACACTGGTAGACAGAGAGGGGAACCTAAAAGGTCCAGGTCCAGTGCCCAGGATATTAGCTCCCTGGAGTGGTCAGGGACACTGCCTTCCTCTCTCTACCCTCCAGGGACTTCCAGAGAGCTTGGCCTCAAGCTCCCAACTCGGCCCCTCGCCCCAGACACAGTCAAGGCTCAAAGCAGCTGAGGCTTGGGAAGGGAGTCACCTTAATATCCACTTCAACCTCTTCCTGGGCCGACTTCTCATCACTTATATCCACATCCCCGAAGGTCAGCGTCCCATTGCGGCCAATTTTCACCTGCTTCTTGTAGGTGTAATAGAACTCCACGCACTGGGCCACCGTCTTGGTCTGAATCTGGTTGGAAGACAAAACGAGGTCAGAGTTCCTGGTTTATTTAGCTCACCTGCCTCGGGATACTCCAGTCTTTCCCATCCACGCATGTCCCCCTCAGCCGCAGCAAATCCTAAACCCAAGAAACCCAGGAAATACAACCATTTCTCCAATGCCTATTCAGAATAAACCACTGACCAATGCTTCAGCACTATTAAAATGGGGGGGAAAAGGCTAAAAAGCTAAAAAGCAACATGAGGCCATTGGGGGAGACCTGAATAGGGATTGCATATTAGAGCGTATTACTGTATCAGCTTCAATTTCTTAGGTATAAGGATGGTATTTTGGCTTTGCGAAAGAATATCCTTATTTTTAAGTAATATTCGGATCAAGCATCACGATGTCTGTAACTTACTTTTAATGATTAGTTAAAACAGAGGAAGAGGAAACAGAATGTATATAAATGTATGTATCGACAGAAAAAGAGAAAGCAAGCGTGGCAAACAGTAACAACTGGGAAATGTAAGTGAGGGGTACGTGGCTGTTCACTGTGCTATGTTTTCAATGTTGCTCTAAGTTTGTAATTTTTCAAAATAAAAAGCCAGGGTGACAACAATCTGGACACCATCCACAGAGCCAGCCCAGACGTGGCAACACAAACTCCCTTCACTGAGCTGGGCAACAGTATCCTTCCCCCACAGGGAGCAGCAATGGACAGTGAGGCTAGAGAAAGGGTCAACGTCCTAAGTCAGAGAGGGAAGGCCCACGCCTTCCTCCGAACTGAACTCTACCACTAAACGGCTGTGTAACCTCAGGTGAGTCTCTTCAGGTGCAGATGACCTCCAGCGGGCCTCCCAAGCCTCTGAAATCCTAGCACTCCCATTTGGCTCCAGGGGTTAGGTTCTGGAAGGTTTCCCCCACACAGGGGCTGTTTTCTCTGACTCTGCCCTTTCTGCCCCAGGCTCCCAGACTGCTCAGCCAACTGTGGGGCTGCAGAGGGAGCTGGGAAGTCCTGTCCACAGAGCCGCAAGGGTCAGTGACAGTCCTCAGTGCCTGAGGAGGAAACAGATGTGCTCCCATCTCTCAGGAATGGCCAAGTCACGATGTATTCATTAGATCCTGTTTATGCTTTTGCTATCAATTCTCTCTGATCATCTGTATGACTAATGGTCTGCTCTTTTCATTATGGCATTAAGGGCCCCACCGTGAATTTCACAGGCACGTACTTCGCAGAAATGTTGCCCAATCCAGGAACGCAGTGTTGCTAAAACCCAGCAAGTGACTGTCCTCACAACAGGGCCCTGAGGAGAGTTCCTCAGCACCCGGTCCCCAGAGCTGTCCTGGCACAGTGTATAGTTCCAGGAGGAGAGAACGCGTTCTTGGAAACCCTCTTGCCTCAGCAGGCCACAAGGCTCAGATTCTGTGAGGCAAGGCTGCTGGAAAGATGCAAGTCCTTGGATTAGCAAAGCACTCTTTTTCTCCCAGAAGAAGACGGGGAGAGGACAAGAGAAATTCAATCTAGGAAAACTAGGCTTGGCCTCCTCTACCTGTTCAGCTGAGTTATTGGAAGGAAGCCCCGGGTCTGAGAGGAGGGCGGGGGCGGTGGCCCCCCAGGTCAGTCCCACAGTCCCTTCCCTGCTGGCTCTCAGTTCCCCTCGTTCTTAGGGTGACCTCTCCTCCATATATAATTGTGGCTTTTGAAGTACTCAGCCCCTGTGGGGATGGCTCACGTCTGCCAGCAGCCCTCCTTCTTTTCCTGTTCTCCCCCAGGCAAGTCACTGCCTCAAATCTGACCTCTCTGGGTGGGTCTGTCCACTCAGGCCTCTGAGATTCCAGAGCAGGGCCACAGGACCCTAACCTGAGGGAAGGAGGCCTGGAACCAAGGGGAGGAAAAGCCCAACTGTTCCCCCTTGTCTGGAAAAGTGTCTCTGAGGACACTGCGTGGCATTACCCTCACGGCTTTCTCAGGGGGCCTGGGAAGGGACTGCCGGGCCCACCACTGGCAGAGAGAACCCCAAATCATGCACCAGTTCCGCCCCTAAAACAGAGCCCCAGCTTACCAGCTTCTGCACCAGGAAGAAGTCCTTCTTGTAGATAGCAATGCCCTTGTTGAACAGCTTCCTCTCTGCCATCTTCCACTGGTCAGAGCCTGCGGGGCAGAAAGGGAGCCGAGGCAGTGAGCTGGATGGGGCTGTGTGTACCGCAGGGGGCGACCCCAGCTGGCACAGAGGTGTGAGGGCGCCCACCGGTGGTCCCCGCGGGCATTCAGAGCCAGATCCATACCCTGCTATGGTACAGACTGAATGACATAAGCCCATGGAACCTCGATGCTTTGCCTGGCCTGGGCAAGGGGCACCGTTCAGCGGGGATCGAGGACAGTGGCTGCTGTGCTTATGCCACCGGGTCACTGTCCCTTCTAAAGCACAGTGCCCGGCGTGGGACATGGCACTCCAGGCGCTGCGTAAGTTCCAGGCACCTGAGGCTGGTGTGAACAGCACCCCCTAGACACCTGTCCCTTGCACCTTGCCACGGACTTTTCCGCCTGCACAGGCTCCCACCTGCCCACACCTTTCCCCCTCGGCCTCCAGAGCACAGGAAGCCCCTCGAGAACTACCCCAGCTTGGTGTCAGTTCCTTCTCTTTGGCTCTTGGCTTATCCACACCCTCACGCCACCCCCACCCCCCGCCCCGGGGCCATGCCTCAGCGCAGAACTGGGCCCCCCTGATGCCAGAAACTCCTGGAGGCTGCAGGTCCAGGCCCACCTGTGTAGTGATACGTCGCCAGTGGGTGGTTATGGGGCCGCAGGGGCTTCTTCAGTAGCAGCTTATTCAGCGTTTCCTGAAAGGGAAGTGGGAAAGCTCAGGGCCCTGCAGAGGTCTCGGTGGCAGGCGGAGCATCCCAGATGCTGGGCAGAACTCAGAAGGCCTCTTCAGCCCTCCGAGTAGTAGGGTGGGCCTTAATCCCCCCGCCACACTTACACTTAGCGGCTGAGGGACAAGGGGTCTGGTGGGATGGTGATGTCATGGGGGGTGGGGCTGCTCAGGAACTCAGCCATGGGCCTCCTCAGAGGGGAACATGCGATCCCCAGGACAGAGAGCCACAGGTACAGAAAGACCTCAATGACGGTCTTTCTGAGGGTGGGGACTCACTGACCCAGAACTGGAGACTGGGGTACACAGGAGGACCCTGTGCCGTGAAGTCTGGGCTCTGGAACTAAGATGGCTTGGTCGGACCCCCTGCCGGCCTCAGATCAGCTGGTCCGCAGACACGGGTCCGGGGCCAGCCTCCCCGAGGGGCCCTCCCTCCACCAGGGCCGTTGTCTCACCAGGATGTCTCCCCTGGACTCGTGCAGACAATGCAGTGCCAGCTCCTGGTTGGTGCCAGCCCCAGGGAAAATACTGGAACAAGCGGCAGTCAACAGGTCTTCCACTGGAGCAAGCGTGGGAAGGGAAGAGAAGGAATCAGGTTCCGGGCCCAGCCCACCCACCTGCCTGACAGCCCACCTTCACCTCCTGGTCCCGGTCCCCTCTCACCTTGCCTCTGCTTCTCCCGGCTGCTCTCGAGGTTCTCCCACGGCTGCCACACCAAGTCAGCCTTGTGGGGGTCGGCGGCTGCCAGGGCGCGATCCCTCATCGAGGGGATTTCCGCTTGGAACCGGGAACCCACATTGATCCGTCTGCAGGGGTGGAAAGGGCAGGGAGTGAGGCCTTGCCTGGCGGTGACCGGGACTCTTTCCCGCTGGGGTGGGAGAAGGCGCAGGGGGTAACTGGCAGAGGCTGAGCACAGTAAGGCCTCAACTGGGCGGAAGGGACTTTGGCTTCTGTGAGGACAGCCTGGAAAGGGCACCTGGTATGGCCAGAAAGACAAGGCCCAGAGGTTGGAAAGGGGAGAAGCTCAGGTCTCCAGACAGAGAAGTCTCTTGGACTATCCCCCGAATTCTCCTCAGAGGTGAAATTTAAACCGAGCTGGTCCTTACCTTTCCCTGTGACTTCCACACAGAAGCAGGCTGGACACAGTAAAGCCCAGAGGCCACTGCAGAGTCTCAGAAGCCCGCTCAGCCCTCTGGGGGCCCCACACGACCCTCCTCTTCCTCACAGGGCCCACATGCACTGGATCCCCCTCGGCCACCCTCATGCCACGGGCCAGAGAAAGGGCTGCACTTACGGCTCAATGCTCACTGGGGTGGCCTCCCCCATCACAGAGAGGACAGGTGGGGTGACTTCAGCACTATCTATGGGACAAAAGGCATGTTGGTGAATGGTCCCCTCTTCCCTTTAGCAAGCGCCCCCCCCCCCCCACCCTACATGGCTGCTCTGTTTGCAAAGAGCCACAGCAGTGACTCATAGAGACTCACACTAGGAAACCAGGCACCCTGCATCCTGGCTCCTCAGCCCGCGACTGTGACGGCTAACTGTGACTTTGCCAAACATGTGGCTGCTTCTGCTCTCATGCCTGCTGAAAGGGGCTATTACTACCCACCCCCCAGGGTTAACGTGAGGGCTGAGTAAGTCACGCGCAGAGCTGCACCCTTGATAAATATTAGCTATTACTACTACTACTACTCCCACCCAGAGCTGGGTCCCTGCCCCAGGAGCTCCCACACTACAGAATTAACTCCGGCCTTAAGCCGTACTTGCTCTAGTCAAGGGGCCGAAACTTCTGGCACACTAGCACGGTGGTGAAGGGGATCCCCGTTTCATACTTATCTCCTCCCTTCCGTCCTGGATTCTCTGCCTCAGTTTCTCCTGAGCTAATCTTAGGTCCCACGGGATCCAGACACTCCCTTGCTCTGAAACCCAAACCCTGGCTGACTCCCCTCTGCAGCCTGAGATAAACCCCGAACTCCTCACTCTGCAGGCTCACGCAGTCTCCCTTCCATCTATGCCTCCCACCACCCTCTCGCCCAGACCCCGGATCCAGCAGACCGCTTACTGTCGGCTCTCATCGCTCTCCCTGCACGCCCCACCTCCAGGCCTTGGTACCGCTCATTTCCTCACCCCGGTGGACCCTCCCCACCCCCTTCCCACTTGAAGCTCAGCTCTAGCCCCACCCTCTCTTGAAGGCTGTCTTAAGGCCCCAGGCTGGGAGCCCCTGCAGGCTCCGGAGCTCAGGGTCTGAGCTGCTGCTCCCACTCTGCTCACAACCTCTGCTTTTCTGTCTCCCAGGTTCCCAGGTCAACTCCCTAATGACCCTGTACTCTCTTTAGAACAGACTATGCTGTCCCATGCACTGCTGGAGCCTTCACAGGCCCAGTTCAACGCTTTACACCCAAGTACTCGATAAACACTTCTGGATGGACAGGAGACCTCTCGCTGCTGCCAGTCTGGTCTCTACAGTGACTTCTTCCTGCATGACCCAGACAGGGAGAGAAGCTTTGAAGCTTGGACAATACGTGAGAGGGGAGGAGGTCAGCCAGCCCAGGGTGAGTCATTTCTCATGCACAGACACCAGGGGGCACCAGAGAGCTAGGCCAAGGGCGGTCAGGGTTGGAGGTTAACTTCATGACAGGACTGCATGGCCTCACCCCTCCACCTCAGGCAGCCTTTACTCCCACTTAATCCTCCACCACTGCTAAGGGGCAGGATTATCCCATTTTTTCAGAGGAAATGGAGCCTTTCGTGGAGTGGGAAACATTCTTCAACAATTCACCATCCAGGCCAGCCAAAATGTCTACTCTACGCCAAAACTGTTTGAGAGAGGCAGGAGACAGGATCTACCAGACAGTAAGTGCATACAGGACGCTCCAGGTATGATGTTAAGTGCTTTATGTCTGTTAATGCATACGAACCTCCCCGCAACCCTGTGAGGTGGCGATTAGTTTGAACGCCAGGAAACTGCTATTTGTGGATCCCAGAAGGGTTGAGATCGGCAATTTCATCATCAAGCAAATACTACTAGTATCTTCAATTAAATACGGAAGAAACTGAAGCTGAGAGGGTTTGAACGACTTACACAAATAATAGTAAATGGTAGAACTGGGATCCGAACCTGCGCAGTTGGGCTCATACCTGCCTCCCACACCCCTGCCTGTTCTTGAACCAGGACAGTCTCCTTTTCTCTCTCAGAGAAGGACTGGAACCCCTTTGCCCACAGTGTTTTAGCCCAATCTCCAGCAGCCCTATAAGCAGAGTCTCATCCCTGCCCGCTGCCCTCCCCCTGCCCATTCCCTGCCCCCATGGCCCCTGATGGGGGGTGTCACTCACTAGACCGGAGCAGGGTGCGATGGGCACTCTTTGGCGTGATGGGAGGAGGGGCTGGGATGCTGCTGGTTGACATGATGGCATTGAAATAGAGGCCGGAGCCCTCCCGCACAGGGCTGAGGATGGGGGGAGGCGTGTAGGGGGGCAGCTCAAAGCTCCGCTCAGAGGGGTGGTCGGCGAGGCGGACAGGGGAGCGCAGGTGGCTCTGGTATGGGGTGATGTTGGAGTAGACGGGAGGGGCAATGAAGGTGCCCGCCTTGGTGGGGATGATCAGGGGCTCAGGCCGTGGCCGCTGCTTTGGTTTCCGCACTGAAGTGTCCCCTTCCAGCTTGACGTTCATGTCCTCAGCCTGGAGAAGGAAACAGAACCAAGATGGCTCAGCCTCCTAGGTGCTGGGAAAACTGAAGACTTGACCACTACTTGTCAGTCTCACCTCTGGAACTTCGTCTGCCCGCTACACCGACCAAGGCAAGCCTGAGACAGCGAACGGGTCCAAAAATCCCTTTACAGTCTCCTCTAGGCTAGGGGTCAGCACACTGTTTCAGTAAAGGGCCAGAAAGTAAATTTCGGCTTGTGGGCTACATGCCCGTCTCCATCACATATTCTTCTTCCCCTCCTCCTCCCCACGCTTTCCAAATAATCCTTTTAAAATGTAAAGTCCATTCTTAGGTCTGGATTTGGCCCACACGCCCTGGTTCGCAATCCCTAACATAAGTATGCCACTGGACAGGGAGCTGTAGTAGTTAAGGTCCAGGCCCCGCGGCTTGATTGCTTGGAATGGGATCTACCTCCTTTACTTACACCGAAAATTTCTTAACTTCTCTGTGCATCAACATTTTTAACACGGGAATAATAATTACCTACCAAATGGGTTAGCAATGAAAATGGAATGAATTAATACTTGGAAATCATGGAGAACAGTACCTGATATATAGTAATTGCTCAATAAATACAAGCTGCTATCAAGCTCTGTATATGATGGAGGTGCCTGCTATGTGCCAAGACCTGAGCCGGGTACGGGGCTACCAAATGAACAAAACAGTCCTGTCCTCATAGTATCAGTCCCATGACCACAGACTAGCCCATTCATGCTGTCAAGGGTTAGCGCTCCGAGCCTACACTTCTCCCTGCTCAGTAGGCCTCATGGGTCTTCAGACAGAATAGAGGGTAGGGCTGTAAGGGAACAGAGGCCTTTCTCTGTTCCATCCCTATCCTCTCAGGAGAATGGAACCCTATGAGCATGAGCAACATCCACATTGTCTCCCTGGGTGCAGGGCTGGCCGAGAGGTGAGGCTGGGTCACAGTGGCCCAGGAGGTCTGGGAACAGCTGCCTTTCTCCCCCTCCCCCTCACTTTCTCCAGTCCAGCCCACAACCCCTTTCAGCAGAGGGTCTTGATGGTCCATGAAGTCTTGGCCATGGCCTTTACCCATTTGTGCCCTTTTCTTTTCTTGCCCTTCTTTTCTTCTTCTACTAGGAAGAAATGAAATGTTTCATTCTTCCTCCCTTAGGGGAACAAGATGATTACACAGAAAAAAATGCAGCAGAACCGAAGGCCCCCAAACTTGCTAGACAAGAAACCCAACATGAACTCAGCTAGCTGTATTGATTTGTTAACTTTGTAATAAGGGAAATGGAATTAAACTAATATTTGACAATATTTTTGGTATTAATTTTGTAGATGTGATAGTGATATTGAGGTTATATGGAAAGAAGGAAGGCAGGGGGAGGAAGGGAGGAAGCAAGGAAAGAAGGAAGGGAGAAAGCTTATGTATAGTGTACTTCAGATACAAGAATGCAATGATATGGTGTTTGGGATTTGTTTAAAACAAAAAATCTAGTGGCAGAAGAAGTGGAGGTACAAATTTAAAAAAAGGATGTCTGTATTCTGAAAACCGTTAAAACCAGGGGGTGACTAAATACTGAGGTTCATTTTACCATCCTCTACACTTTTGTGCAACACTGAAAATATCTGTAATACAAGGAAAAATAAAAAGTAAACAATAACAATAAATAAATACATAAACAGACCTCCTCCTAAAGCCTGGTGAAGTGAAAGTACCCACAGGTGGGGATTCAAGAGATCCAAATTCCAGGGCTAGCTCTGTCATTTCTTGGCTGTATGAACTTAGGTAACTTCTCGCATTTTCTGGACCTACTTCCTCATCTGTGAAATGGGCACGTGGAGCTGTGCAGCTGCTCAGGCTCCTTCCAGTCATCCTCAGGACAAGCTAAGGCCTCTAGCCTCCAATCTCTATCACAACCAGGGAGTAGAGACTGAGCTGCCTGTGATAATCTTAGAGCTCCCTTTTCTGTTACGGAAGACAGGCTTATAGGCCAAATCTCCAGCTGAAAACTAAAAAATCCTTGCTGAAGAAGGAGAGCCTGATAAACCCTCAGGCCTTGGACTGGGGCTCCAAAAGGCTAACTCCTCAGAATAAAGGTGACTCAGAAATACACTCGTCATCACATGGAATAATGCTTAACTTAAAATCATCTCATCTCAGGACGCCTGGGTGGCTCAGTCGGTTAAGCTGCTACCTTCAGCTCAGGTCATAATCCCAAGGTCTTGGGATCGAGTCCCGCACTGGGCTCGTTCCTCAGTAGAGAGCCTGCTTCTCTCTCTGCCTCTGCCTGCCACTCTGTCTGCTTGTGTGCTCGCTTGCTCTCTCTCTCTCTGACAAATAAATAAATAAATAAATAAAATCTTTTAAAAAAATCACATCATCTCGATCGGTGATTAAATTAAATAATTCAGGATTGCTAATGCCCTTTGCTACCTGTCAGATGCAAAGCTAAATCCTCTCTCGAAGACAAGAACATCATCCACAGTCTTTAATTACCTCAACAATTTTTCATATATGTCTGACATGCAATTAAAACTAACCAGATCTGTAAGAGAACAAAATGTGACTTAAAAACAAGAAGTAACAGGCATTTAAAAAAAAAAAACCAAAAAAAAAAAAAAAACAAAAACAAACCAAGAAGTAACATAACAGAAGGAGACCCACGAGGATCCCACTAATGGAGTTATCAGACTTAAACTCTAAGAAAACTATGCTTAAATTATGCAATAGAAGAAAAGGTTGAAAAATTCACTGAAGAACCAGAAATGCTACAAATGAACCAAATAGAAATTCAGTAACTAAAAAAAATAACTAAAAATAAGAACTTGATGAGTGGGCTTAACAACATACTAGATACAGCTAAAGAGAGAATGGGTGAACTGAAAGTCCAGAGGAAGAGAAAAGTGGAAAATACAGAAAAGTGCATGACAGACAAAATAGGGGATATGGTGAAGGGCTCCAACAAATGTGTAACTGGAGTTCCCGAAGGAGAGAAGAGAAGAAATGGGGCAGATGAAATATTTAAGAAGGACTACAAACTCTAAACAGGATAAACACAAAGCAAACCAGTATTTAGGTCTAATAGCAAAAGTGCTGAAAAGCAGTGACAAAAACAAAAACAACAACAAAAAAACCACTTAAAAACAGTAAGATAAAATGACACCTTATATTCAAAGAAACAAAATGGCTTATGGTGATTTCCTAATACTGTAACTACAACAAAGTCTAAAGACAATAGAATGATATTAAATGCCAAGAGAAAGTAACTACCAACACAGAATCCTCCACCCAGCAAAGTTATCCTCCTTCTCTCTTGATAGCTCTCCAATAAATAAATCTTAAAAAAATAAACATTTTCAAACAATCAAAGACTAATAAATTTCATCATGAAGACTCGCACTGAAGGAAATACTAAGGGGCATTCTTCAAACAGCACATAAATGTTCTGAGCTAGAAGCCTGGAGATATGAGAAGAAATGAAAAGCAACAAATTGCTAAGTCTTTCAGTAAATCTAAAAGTAACAACAACTGAACAAAACAAGGTTATCACTGAGGAATGTATAGAATTGTTGAATCACAAGATTGTACAGATGAAACTAAAATAACACTGTATGTTAACTATATAGGAATTAAAGTTAAAAACTTAATAAAAACAATGATGTTATAATACCCTGGTGATGTTAAAATGTTTAGAGAATAAAAATACATGTTAATAATTCTACAAGTTAGAGACTGGTGAAAAATGGAGTTAAAAGTGTTGTAAGAATTTGCATTGTTCTGGAAGAGGTAAAATACTAATTTCTATTAGATTTCAATAAGCCAAGAATGCATGTTTTACACTGTAGTAGCTCTTTTCAACCAGAAAATTAAGCCCTAATGTCATGAGGCATTCACTATACGTAATGACTTAGCTTGCTTATGCATCTGGAATGGTACTAGCTTTGTGCCATCTGAGAAGGTAGTCATTCAAATTCCTTTTTGTGGGACTTAGTTCTCTCACATGAATTCAGAAAAGAAAGGCTACCCGGATAATTACTAAGAGTAATGAATAAATAAGAGTAATAATTAAGTAAATAAATAAGAATAATAAACAAGTATATAACTAATAAATTAATTGAGGGAAAATGGAGTAACAAACCCAATCAAGCCAAACGGGGTGAGGGGGTGGGGGAAAGGAACAGAAAAGGCAATATGGGATAAATCAGAAGGCAAACAGTAGGGGTGCCTGGGTTGCTCAGTGGGTTAAAGCCTCAGGTCATGATCCCAGGGTCCTGGGATCCAGACCCACATCGGGCTCTCTGCTCAGCAGGGATCTGGCTTCCCCCTCTCTCTCTGCCTGCCTCTCTGCCTACTTGTGATCTCTGTCTGTCAAATAAATAAATAAAATCTTTAAAAGAAAAAAAAAAGAAGAAGGCAGATTTAAACCCAAGTATTTCTGTAATTATGTTAAAGTAAACTACAGCAATGCTCTAAAAGACAAAGGTTGTCAGAACAAATAATAAACCCCAATTATAGACCACCTGAAAGATACACCTTAAGCATAAGGCTACAGAAGGGCTAAAATTAAATCGATGGAAAAGATACACATCTCATCCATTCCCCCTCCCCACAACACTAATCAAAAGAAAGCTACTGTTGGGGCGCCTGGGTGGTTCAGTGGGTTAAGCCTCTGCCTTCAGCTCGGGTCATGATCCCAGGGTCCTGGGATGGAGCCCCGCATCGGGCTCTCTGCTCAGCGGGGAGCCTGCTTCCCCCTCTCCCTCTTTGCCTTCTTCTGCCTACTTGTGATCTCTGTCAAATAAATAAATAATATCTTAAAAAAAAAAGAAAGCTACTGTTTCACAAAATAGACTTTAAGAGGCAAAAAGATTATGAAAGATAAATAGAAGCATTTCCTTATGATGAAGTGTCTAATCCACTTCTAAATGAGTATGCAACTAATAACACAGCATCAAAATGTATAAAACAAATGCTGACAGAAAAGATGAGACAGATAAAACCTCAATCTTAGTGAGAGACTTTAACATATATATGTTGGTACTGACAGAACAAGTAAACATCTCTGCATCCCAGTGCCTAGCACAAAACCTGACCCATATTAGAAATTTTGCTAACCTGTAATGAGATTCACACATCCTAGATTTTCCTAGGCAGTCTTAATTTTAAGTATAAAACTACCTGTGTCCCATAAATGCATTTCTCCGTCAATTTGGTTTGGAAAATATAAATAGTATCTCCACAGGTTGCTTGAATCCCTCCTGTATTGCCATGTTCTCCTTTTTTCCACAGGGTATTAGGTCCCCAGGAGCACACAGGTACTAGAGGTAGAGGTGTCTGCATGGGGAGCTTCTCATACCTGAGCTGGGGCATCAGCCCCTGGGATACGGGTAGACCGCCTGCGGGTGACGATGACGGACGGCTTGTGTTCAGTGGGGTTCTGTTCAGGACCCTTCCTGTCCTCGTCAACACCTCCAGCTTGGGCCGCCTCAGTTGGGTCCATAGTCCGCACAGGCACAGATACTGGGATGATGAGGGGTACCATCCCGCTGTCCTCTCGTGCTCGCTTGGCAGCTAAGGCAGGCTCAGAAAACTCCACCCCACACTTGGTAGTTGAAGCCAACACACTTTTCCGCTTCTCCTCAGAGCCACTGGCATCCTGGAGGAGAGGGAGGGGAAACAGAGGTTAAGGTTTAGAAGGTAAGTCCTAGACCTCTAGTCACCACTGGATTCAGGAACTCAGACACCCACAATGGTTCATTCCCATGAACCACAGCATTTGATGCTATGATGGTTCCCATGAAAACCGATGGTTTTCACAGTCTTTCCCTGAATACCTTTTCTCTCACCACATTCCCAAATACTCCCTATAACCTCCCTTCTGCCAGGACTTCGGATCCTGCCTGGCACGGGGGTCCCCAGATGGCCATTTCAAGCCACAAGTGGCTTACAGACTGTTTTGTTTCATCTGCATGGGGCATGGCACAAAAAACAGTATCTAAATTCAAAACGTATCTCTGCAAACAAACGAACAAACAAACAAAAAACGTATCTCTGCAAAAGAAAGTAACCAAGGAACCTGTTACCAGGCAATGGTGGTCTTTGTACCTTTTCCCCATTGGCAAGTGGCTGGAGGGAAGTCAAATTCTACAGCCTCTGACATGTCAGCCTGGCCCAAAGACATGGGAAAAAGCGGGTGGGGGAGTATGGGGGGAGGGTAGAAACCCCTAGGGAAGGAAGGTGCAAACACTGGCTTTGGAGCCAGATACTAGGCTTTTATCTTAGCTTTGCGCCCTTTGTAGAACTCCGAAAGCCTACAGGTTCTTTCCATCTCCGTCAATGAAATAATCCCTGGGCCTCAGCTTCTTTAGCAACAAAACAGGATAATGGCACCGTCCGTCACAGGGTTTGATGACAAATTATTTGTGATCAAGTGTAAGAAAGTGCAAGTACAAGACAGTGCTCAGATTCAGTTCATTCTTCTTCCCCCCTTGTGGCCATTTCTTTTAAATCCACCTGATTGCAGCAAAATTTACATAAAACAAAATGCACCTATTTTTAATTAGTTTGAAGCATTCTGACAAGTATAATCACCTGTGTAACCACTGCCACGTTCTTGTTCTAGTACACAGGATCTGGCAACGGTTTCACATGCCCCTATTCCCAGTCCTTCATGTGCCAACCCACAATGGCACCTTCCTGCCTGCGGACTACAGGTGTGCAGCCACTTCCTCTCTCCTTCAGGTCGGGATGTACCTACGTAGAGACTCTGCACACAGGGAGCTCAGAACTCCCAAAGCCTACAGGTTCTTTCCGTCTCCGTCAATGAAGGGAATACACTGCCCTGTGGACTCCCCTGGCCCCAGACACGGTTCCCTGTGCCCTCTGCCAGGCCAGGCCTGCACCTCGTGCCACTCTCACCTTTGCGTTCTGCATTGAGGCCAGCTCCACTGCCTTCTGGGCCAAGGTCAGCAAATTGGCCTCCTGCGACGCCCGGCGCCTCCGTCGAGTGCTCTGGATCACCCCACCCCGTAGCACCTGCCCACAGTCCCCCGTGCCCACGGCCCGCACGCCCTCCTCACTGCCCATGGCGGGAGCCTCCCGCTCCCGACCGTTGGGTGCCAGTCTCTCCCCGTCGGACAGCAACTGCGACTCCCTCAGCTCCAGCGGGAATCCCAGAGCTTCAGGATGCGGCTGCCCCAGGGGCCCAGGCGGCGGCTGCTGTGGGGGCCAGTGATGCAGGAACAGGTTGCTGGTGGGCTCCTGTCCAGGCTGGGTGCCAGCCACATCCAGGGGGGCGGAAGGCAGGACGCCCTCCTTCGAGAGGCGGCGGGAGCGGCGGGGGAAGGCGATCTGGGACTGAGGTAGCACAGGCTGTGGGGCTGACTCCTGCAGGAGGGCCTTGCGCAGTTCTGGGTTCATGTCAGGGTTGTGGGGGAAGGGGTAGGGCGCCATGCTGTGGTGAGCCAGGTGCGACTGCCCCAGGGGCCCGGCCGGCTGCAGCCCAAAGTCCTGGGGCTGCTGCGAGGGGGGCTGCTGCATGGGATAGAAGTTCTCGAAGAGCGGCATCTGCGGGAGGGCGGCCTGCGGCGCCGGCGGCTGCTGCTGCTGCTTCTGCGGCGGGAAAGCCGCCACCGGGTTGGGGGGCGGTGGGCCCTGCCGGAAGACCTGCCGGTTCACCTGGTGGCCGAACGCCAGCTGGAAGGGTTGCAGGGGCAATGTCTGGTTTGGGGGCTTCTTGGCCACATGGAAAGAGTTCAGGGGAGCCTGGGGCCTCCCGACCTCCAGCTGCACCTTCTGCGGCATCATCGGCCGCACCGCATTTCCGTAGCGGTCCAGCTGCGGCCCCGCTCCTTTGTCCCGCTTCAGCGCCTCGGGGTGGCTGTAGTACGTAGAGACCCCCATGGCGGGGTGGGGGCTCCCCTTGGGTCCACTGTAGAGAGGCAGGCTGTGGCGGTTCCACGTCGTGGGGGGCGGAGGCTGGCCCGGCTGCTGCTGCCAGCCGCTGTCGCTGACGCCCCCGCCGCCGCCGCCGCGCTCGGGGCCCCGCCCCGGAGCCATCACGGAGTTGGGCCACTTGACGGAGCCCACCTGCTGGGACAGCATGGCCGCCGTGGTCCGCTCGGGACCATACACCACGGAGTTAAGCAGGGCCAGGCTGTTGGGAGGGGGCAGCTCCACAGGCTGGGAGACAGGGGCCGCCCCTGCCGGGCCCTCGTGCCCGAAGTAAGGCTCCTCCTTCACTCTGGTAGACTGTGGAGGGGCGGGGTGCTGCTGTGGGGCCTGCAGGGGTGGGGGCTGCTCCTTGGGAGCTGGTTCCTGGTCCCCAAAGAGGCAACGCTTCCGCTTGTTCTGAGCCTTGGGCTGGGCCTGGAGGTTCATGGTGTGGCCAACCGGGCCCTGGAAGTGAGCCCTACTTCACCAGTTGCCCATGCCCTGTGGGAAGGTCCTGCTGGAAGCCCAGCTCTTGTCTTGGAGCCAGTGGGGGCAGAGAGGGAGGGGGATGAGGCCAGGCACGGGGAGATAGCAGGTTGGCTCTTCCTTGCTCTTGGCGGAGAGGTTCTTGGCCTCAGCTACTCTGCCCAGTTCATGATGTTCCACAGGGCCCTGGAGCCTGCAGACAGAAAGGCGATAGCGTCAGCCACAGCCTCCCAGGATGCCCCAGATGTCAGCACAAGTATGAGGGAGGGGCCCACGCTCACAGAGCAGCCCTGGCGAGGCAGGGGCCAGGGCCTCCAGTGGGAACGACCAGAAGCCAGCGCTTTGTGACTCTCCTTGTCCCACCAGCTCACCCTGCAGCATTTGGATGTATAATCTGTACACGGCACAAAGGCATCTACCAGGGAATAAGCGGGGCTGAGATCCAGTCGGATCCCCTACAGCCACGACGGGAAAACGGGCAACAAAGGCCTTCTCACAGGCCAGGTCTGGCTGCCCATAGGCTGAGCATGTCTGTCCACACAGTAGCTTCCCCAGCAGACCCAGGAGTTTTATCCACACCATGCCTCCTGTGATGCTCCAAGCATATCTCAGACACAGGAAGTGGAGACAACAGGGGTCATTCATAACTATGTGGCTCCAGGGTGGGGAGCCCACCAGGTCCTTGCAGAGCTCAGGGCCCAGGGCTAGCTCCCAGTCCTTTGCACTGATGCATGCAGGCGAGGCCCTAGAAGGGTAGGTGCAGTTCTAGCCCCACCCCTGGGAGGAGCTGCTGGGTGGGACTGCTGTGGCCAGTCTTTCCCAAAACAGCACAGAACCTGTTTTGCAGCCCTGGCTGGCTGGAGGCAGGATCCCGCCTGGTACTTGGTCAGCAATCCTCACCTACCCTCCTCCACCGCCAAAGAGCTCCTAGCGTCCCTGGTCAAAGGACTGGCGCAACTACGAACCGAGGGGATGCTGACAGCTAGGACTTAGATCTGAAGTGTTTTTCTGTGGCATGGTGTGACTTAAAAGTGTTCACGATGTCTGTGTTTATTTTCTAACTTCATTAAAAAAAAAACAAAACCCAAAGCAGGTTGCTCTATGCTGCTATAGGACAGCCCAAATCAAGACCAGTATTTTATAACTTACATGTATTTTTATCACCTACATGTACACTTGCATGTATTTTCAAAGCTCTGTCTTTCGTCAGAGGGCTTCCCCCCCAACCCCCACCCCCGGAAGCTGGTGAAGGTGGGAGCTACTCAGCCCACCTCCTCCCAAAGCCGCTAAGATTCTGGTCCTGAGCCAGTCAGGCCAGGAGGGAAGGGGAGGGAGAGGAGGGGCTCAGGAAGCCCCGGGGAATGAACCTCAGACCTCAGACCCTACAAGCTCCAGGTCCTAGTTAGTAGTCCCAGGAGTTCCCGGGAAACCAGCCCAGTCAAGGAGGGCTGGGGCTGGGAGTAAGGGCCGGCTCTCTCGGTGCAAGGCCCCCTATCACCAGTTCACAGGCTTCCGCAGCTCCCCAGCCCTTCCCCTCCCGGAGCTGCAGTGACTCACTCCAGCGCTCCCCCCCCCACCTGCCTTTCACTTTCACCAGCACCCAGAAGGGGAGGGACTTCCTCCTCCATTTCCTTCCTCAGCCCTGGGCCCCGCAGTAAGCAGACAGCGCTTCCTGCCAGCACCCTCTTCGACTTCAGTTATGGACATCGGGGGAGGGGAAGAGAGACTAGGTGGGCATCCAAGCCCCCCTGGCCCTGGCAGCAGGGGAACAATTTGCACAAGCAGGGAGTGCAGAGGACCATGGAAAACACCTTTAGAACAAACCCCTTTCTCTTGCCTTTAAACTCTCATTCCCTGACAGCCAACCTGACTCAGACCAGAGACCCTAAAGCCAGCGATCCCCTCCCCCATGAAAATAACCCTGTGTGGCGGGGCGAAGATGCAGGCTGGGACTGTCAGTGACAGGCGTCAAGCTCGGCCTCTCCAATCAGCGTGAGCAAACGAGACAGGTCTGCAGAAGCAAGACAGAGAGGAAGGAAGAATGTTCCTGAGGGGAGAGGGAGGGAGGGCGCCGAGGGGGAGCTGGCCGATCCACGTGCCTCAGCACCCGCCCCCAGCCCCTCAGGTGCTCACGTGCACTCCTGCTTCCCCTGCCCTCACAGGCCTGTTGCCTTTGATGAGCTACAGCACCAGCTCACGGGCTTGGAGTCTGGAAGAAAGGAAGGCCCACGTGACAGATGAGCTTGTGTGCACATGTGAGCGTGTACACCTGGTGGAGGGTAACCCAGACACCCAGCCCGGGGTGGGGGGTGGGGGGATGGCTGGCCACTTGGAGCCCAGTGGGGAGGGTGAGTTCTGCGGGCTGGGTTGAGTGAGATGGAGGCCAAGTCTGTGCATGGAGCTCAAGGCAGGGCTGCTTGGGGGCCTAGGGCCCTGGGCCCCAAGCTGGCTCACCAGCTGCTTGGTCAGGCTGGTCGGCCTCCCCTCCTCCGCCCTGCATGTCAAGAAGGACCCGCAGCAGGTTTCTAAAACTGGCCTTGGACCTTGCTTAGAAGAAACCAAGGCAGCAGATTCTGGGGAGGTTGAATCACCCCAGAAGCTTCTGCAGAGGCCTTCCTGTCCCCACACACTGGCAGGCTAAGAGTGCCAAGAGCACACAGACACCCAAACCTGCAACGCTTAGAGAAGGCAGGTCATGATCTGGGGGGATAAGAAGACCGAAAGATGCCTTGGAACCCTAGAGGAAGGAGGGGAGGACCCACACCAAGGCAGCAGGGCTCCAAGGATGGTGGTGGCTGTGGCAGCAGGTCTGTCCTAAGCGCTTTGCATAGGTTTAGTTTCCACAACAGCATTATACGGCAGCATGAAGGCCAAGCATGAAACATTGCTATTTTAACCTCCTTTTTACAGATGAACTAATTGAGGCTCAGGGGGGCTAAGTAACCTGAACCTAGGTCTGTCTGCCTCCCAGACCAAGCTCTTCTTTTTGTCCCTACGACATGCCACAAAGAAACCAGGTCCCTTCCCTCTCTGCATCCCCCCTTCCAGAGCATGTGCCCCACCATCTCAGGGCAAGGACTTCTGGACACAGATACACCTCCTCACTGACAGACCCCTAACCCCTGCCCGAACCGTTGGCAGGTAAACCTCTTTTATTTCTACCCCAATACAGCTGAGTCCCTCAGTCCTACACGAAGGGAAGGAAGACATGGGGCTTCATCACAGAAGGGCCACCCACAAGGAGGCCTGAGACTGCACTGGCCACTTCAGTCCAGTCCTCTGGGCCTGGCCCTGCAAACTCACCCCTGCCTCAGGTCTACTTGCTGCTGGTGAGGCTTCCAGCTCTCATACCCTACTTGAACCTCACAGCCTGTAACTCTGGGCAGGACCAAGCCACTTCCTCTTGTTTCCTGTGCCCCAACCCCACTTCTCTGTTCCTCAGGTGGAAGTCAGCCTGGCCTTCCTCCCAGTGAGGAAGAGGAAGGAAGCCATCTTTTCCGAAGGCTACTGACCTATGGGCCAACTCCCTGAGGGTACGGGGAAGAGGGTGTAATGAGGAACTTCTGCAGCGACTCTCCCCCTCCCCCGGGACCAGCTGCAGGGTCTCTAACAGCGGATGCAGGAACACTGCAAAAGGAAACCCACAGTCACCAAGGGGCCCCAGACACTGCAAGCCACTTATCAGTCTGTTCGACTGTCTGTCCCAGCTCTAGTCCCTCTCCCTTCCTCTGGGCACCTCACTGCTCTAGCCGATCTCTGACCAGAGATGCCCCAGGGCTGAAGACAAGGCAAGAGTCTGTTATCAACACTCGCTCTACGGAAGAAAGCAACATGCACCAAGAAAAGAAAACAGTGCTGAACCCGCATACGTGTTTTGCAGACACATGAGGAAAGGCGCTGGAAGGGTGTTTGGGTGCCCTGTGCTGATGGTGAGACCATGCCCTCCAGAGACGGCACACAGAAAATATGCAGCTCCCCAAGCGTCCTCAACAGCCCTGCCACATGCCCAGCCCTCAGCGGTGGGGCGCAGTGGGGCCAGGCCATGACCACCAGGAGACAAGAGCCATCCACAAGTTTGAGACACTGAGTGCGGCCATCTGAGAGATGAAACCAGTGTTAAGTCAAGGTGACACAGGCCAGGAAGGAGATGCTTCACCTGGTCCCACAGCAGCTGCAGGAGCTCAGCTCTGCCCCGGATACGGGAGCTGACTGGAGAACCCTCCTGGCCCTTCTCCCTAAAGCTTCTAACTCCTGCTCTTACAACCTGGGCCACTCCCAGCCCCACAAACTCAGCGCTGGGAGGATGGAGAGTCAGAGCTCACGCATCCTAACCAAGACAGTACACACCTATTTATGGCATCTAACAAATCCCTAGGTCAGCCAATTCCCAGAGCACCAGACAGGCTATGTCAGGACAAAGTCTAAACTCCCCATCCTGCCCACAAGTCCCGCAGACTTTGGCTCCCGCCACCTCTCTCCACCTGCCACGCTTGGGCTCTCCTTCAGTGCTGTTCCTGCTCTGCTTCCAGGTCTTTGGCAAGGCAGAACCTCTGCCCCTGACACCCTCCCAACCCTTTCATCTGGCCAGGTCCTACTCGTCCTTCAGGTCTGAGACACTGTTTCCTCTGGGAAGCCCTCCCTCACCCCAGGGCTGAGCCAGGAGCTTCCTTATGCACCCACAACACCTCCCAGCCACCTCCCCGTCCCATACCACGCTTAGCACACAAAACTCTAGAGGCCTGTATCTTTGTCCTCAGCAGACAGTAAGCTCCACGGAGCAGAGTTTGTAGACCATTGTACCTTGACACTTGACTTGTACCTGCCCCATGGGATGCTCATTCAAGACTGTGCCCAAGGTGAGTCAGAGCTCTGCCTGGCCAGGAGCACCACTCATGGCCAGCGTGTCCACCCTGGGTTCCCACCCAGGCCCTGGCTCCCAGTCTCTCTCCCCGATGCACAACAGAGATCCCCATGACCCTGAGATGAAGTGAAAAGCCCATCCAAACTCCATCCCACGGCATCCCATCAGCTGCTGCCCCACACCACGGGCAGGCCAACTGGAAAAGTGCCAGCCCCCCTGTTGCCCTGTCCAATTTTTCTTCCCCCATGGCCTCCCACCCTTGCTTTGACCATAGCCAGAAACGTGGATCTGTTTACCTCGTGCCCTGACATGGCTGGGCTGGGCCCTGAGAC